CTCTTTCAGCCCCAACCCTGCCACCTCATTTGCCCCCTCCCCTGGGCTCCTGACTCTTTCTGCAGCCTTTCTACTGCTACTCCTTGGCTCCTTCTTACAGCTGTCTTTCTGTCACACCCCTGATCTTCTGGTGGGAAAGATCTACACCTAGCCTTCTCGGACAAGGGCGAAAAATCTCGGAGGGCCCGTGTGCAAGTTGCGCACGTTAAAGATCCCTCGGTAGTCTAAAATCGATAAGAGTAGGCTTCGGGCGCCACCCCGGCAAAATTCAAAATTTCCTACCAACTAAAAGTATTAGGTGTGTCCCGCACGCTCATATGACTTTATGCAGTTGAGAACGCCGTAAAACACTTACCAAAGAAAATTTTTTTTAAAGTACATCTCACCTCAGCAGCTGAAGCGTCCAATTCGCTCTCTGTCTCTATCCCACTTCTATGGTTGTGAGTGTCACCAACAGTGGTCTACGGAGTGGATGTACGCTAGGTGTTTTCTACCCAGTCCGTTTGTGTTTGTGTGAGTATCTGTCTGTCTGTGTGTGTGTGTTTGTCCGTGACAGCGATACCCGTGTGGACGTATAGTAATGGAGCAAAGATCCGACAGTTAGAACTGTCAGTTGGGGAACTTCTGGAATCGGATTTCGTTATATATGCCCGGCTGGCAGTTCATCGAAACCGTACGGAAGGTTAGTTCCTGAGGTTTATTCATAATTCTCTCTCTCTCTCTCTCTCTCTCTCTCTCTCTCTCTCTCTCTCTCTCTCTCAACACCATGTTCTTCCATTTTCTGTTCCTTTCCTAAAACAGGAATTTAAAAATCTTTTCATTTGAGAGAGATTGTCAACTTATGAAATATATTGAGCAAGGCTGTATTTTTCGAAATACCAATCGAAATACCAAAGCCTACTTTCTTTGATTAGGTTAGTACTCTTCTCAGAAAGGTCCAAAATCACATGGAAGCTCACCAAGAAACAAGGGAAATCTCTTCAGAAGAGAATCAAAGTACCAGTTTGAAAAGTTAACTGCACATCTCATGGAGCAGGGGTCCTTGTTTCTATCAAATCAATGCACTGAATATTCGTTATTTCAATGTAAACATTCTCCATTGAATTTCCTCTATTATGATATAATATTGATTTAATGCCATACTTTGTTCTTTCTGTTGATTACAGTTTACTTCTAAAAAACATAATATGGTCCTTTCGGTCCACTTTTAAAATATCTCAACCATGATATGGAATGGGCCTCCGTTGTGAAAAAATTAAGCCTATCAAACATGCTCAGGCCCCAGCACAACATCATAATTACTGAATGAACTGAACATGGATTTTACATAAACTTGATACCTTTCATCACATGTCAGTACTCTGCAGTCATTATATGTTGAGATCATAAGTCAGCCTTGTCATTATTGCATGGTCTCAGTCTCAGCTTTTGAACAGTCTATCAGATCATTGCGATATTCTGGTTTCCTTTTCTGTCCTTCGTGCAGATGTGTGCCAGTATTCTGATGTTATTGGAGTGTCTCCTCGCCGATATTGCTGTGACCTTCATGAAGTCTGTTATGCACCGGCCCTTTGAAGACAGCCAGTCCCAACAGTTTGTAAAGGTGAAAAAGGAGAATTCCCCTGACAACCGCCCGGTAACAAGATCAAGGGCAAAGGAAATGTCTTCCTCTGGAAATAGTTTAGAAAAAATAGGAGCCACGCTTGACAAAAATGGGCGAGAGGAAAAACTTGCGAAAAGCTCCCAACCCTCCTTTTGCTTGCTGGAAGCTGTGACATACAATTCTTTGTTGTTTTTCCTGTTGGCCAATGTCATGACTGGTATCGTGAATCTGTCAGTGCCAACTCTCAACACAGGTTCTCATGTCGCTGTTGCCATTGTGATAGCTTATATGGGTGTATTGTGTCTAGTTATTTCGGTGTTAAGGGTAAAAAACATTTCAACTAAATTTTGGTGATCCTCAGAAAATCATATTTTTATGGTCTCAGGCACAAACCATCTTTCTCAGAATTTCCCTCTGTTGCCTTAATGCTTTGAACAGCAGGGGAACCTCATTTTACACATCTTTTTAGGTCGCAGCCATCAAACCAATATAAACGTGCCATACTGTCATGTGATCAAAGCATCTTTGTGGCCAACCATTTTGAGAAAACCAGTTTTTCCTTCTCCTGTAAAAAGTAAAGCTTCAGACTGGTATTGTTTGTTCTCAAGTGATCAATATATAGTACACTTGTTTGCCCTAATTTGTTGTCATTTAATTTTAATGAACTTGCTGAATAATTAACTATATATGTATACAGAGAGAGAGAGAGAGAGAAAGAAATTGTCATAGACAGCCAACCATTGTCTTGGAGAAAAGTGGATGTCTTGGATTTGTAATTATAATAGAAAAAACACAAGGAAATGGAAAGTGGTTGTTTATAGAGGTGATTGTTTTGGACAGGTGGCTGTTAGAGCAGATTTGACTGTATAAATACAGTCAAACCTACATTAGATGGCCAAATGTATAAGACAATCGCCTGTACAAACAACCACTTCCCATTTTCTCCCTCGTGTATCTTTTACATCATAAGAGGTCCACTTATCTCGAGAGCCGCCAAGTAAACTATGGTAAGTAATGTTTTTCAAATTTTACTGGAGAGACAAAAAACGGATTTTCTTGAAGCGTTTTGGTGTATATAAACTTCATTTTCACAAGGGAGCCTAATGTCTGTCATGGCATTTGTAGGCTCCCTTATGAAAATGAAGTTTATCCACCCAGAAAGCATCAAGAAAATCTGTTTTCTGTCTCTCCTGTAAAATTTGAAAAACATAGTTTACTTGGCGGCCCTCGATCTGAGAGGGTCACTTTTTTCCTCGACAATGGGTAGCCGTCTTAGACACAACTTCTACTATTTGTCACATTATTTCGTATGCGGTGCCCAAACAAGTTGGGTTTTTCTGCAAACTGGAACTCAAAAGATGTATTTTTGGATATGACGGCTCAACTTTCAATCAGAGAAGTAGTATTAATGGACCACGTTTCATATTTTTCTGTCCCCATCGTTTTATGCAAGAAAAATTATGAAATTATGCAAAATGAGTCCAAAAACGTGAAATTATGAGATTCTGTTAATTTAAGTACTAAGAATAATAATATAAAGGAAAATAATCATAAATTATGCAAAAAATGATCAAATTTTGCTAAATTATGCGGGGTGCATAAAACCACGGGGACAGGTTTTTGCTTTTCAGTCTCTTTCCAGTATGGACAGAAATTTTCAGATTTCTTGTAAGTGTATTACCGAGTGCACACCACCAATCAAATTCTTTTGATTGAGTCGAGGCTGGCTAATTTTCCTTGATGGATGGGGAAAACGAAAAATTTTGTCTCTATTTGACAGAATTTGACTTAATTCAGCTGAGATCTTCAAAATCAAACATGTTTGTCTTTCAACGTCATGAGTCGAATTAGCCATAGTGTACCAGAATGGTAGCTTATGTCCCTTCATGGATGAAAATCCGGCTGGCTTCCACTCAATTTGATTAGTTCCGATTGGTAGTGGCAGTGTGCAGAAGGTATAAGTTGATGAAATGGATATTTTACTTCATTGCTCTTCGATTTTACGTAAATATGATGTTTCCGCTCAAAGTTGAGTGTATTGTGTTGACTTTATCCATTTCAGATGAAATTATGGAAATTTGTTTAAGTATGTAATTATGACCAAGAGTATTGCTTGTTAAAGAGGTGTATTAGCCTACTCATATCACTGTTTATGTGACTTATTAAAAGTGGTACGGTATTCTCTGTATGTAATTTTAAAAATCAAGTCATGTTGTTTTTTCCTGTATCATTGTATTATGTAACCCATTATCATCTGCAAATGTGTGAAAACTTTCTTCATGGCTGTCCCTGGTAATACCTGCTGTCAGTTAATAGATGAGAATTGTTCGTCAGCTTTCTCTTTCTATGAGATCATGAGGGATAACTCACTCAACAGTTAATAATCCTCCCTCATTGTAGAGGACATGGGCTCAGTGTTTACAAGTTTATCCTTCCTCATCATTGAAGATAAGAGCTCTTAGTGACTCTTATTAGATTTAAATCCAGACGGGAGAGAAATGTGAGTAAATGTTTTAAGCCCCAACAGACACAATTTGGACAGTTTAAGAGGTAGCCACTTTGATCCTGCCTGTCAAGGTCAACCTGGGCAAAGCAGGATACAGCGTCCCATCAATCTTACCTAGGAGATAGTCAATAAAAAAAACTTCCCAATGTGGATACTGAACTCATGTCTTCTGTGTGCCACAGGGAAAGATCCTTACTACCATAACACTGCCATGTACACATAAAAAACAGTTTTACTGACTTTTTTTTTCCAGCCTCTGTTAGCTTTTGGTGTCTAGGGGAGAAGCAAATGTCTTTCTCTGGTTTGTTTTTTTGTATCACCTGTTGGGATGGTTATTTTATTTTTGTCTGATGTTTCTCTGACCCTCCACCCTTTCCCCCTCTATTCATCCATCTTTTCCTGGGCCAGCCTCTTCTACTTCTACTGTATCCATCTGATCTCTGGTTATATATGCTCTTGCCACTTTACTGTTTAGTGGTAGTCTTGGCAGATGTCCAAATCATTTCATTCGTTGTTTATGTAGGCTTACTCCAAGCAGGGAGTCAAGGTAACTCATTTATTTGCAATCTAATTTTTCACCCTGTCTTTTCTTGTGGTGGTCAAAAGTTTTTCTAACGCATCTCATTTCATAGGCATTTATTTTGCTGCTGATAAACTAGGATGAATATATCACTGAAAAGTCAGTGATCAATAACTGGAAAAGTTGTTTTACACCATAGCGGACACCGTTTAGATCATTTTTTAAGGTAATGCGCTCTGCCCATTTTACAACACTTGGCCGCAATTTTTCTGTGTAGGAACTGAGGAAACTAACTAACCCATTGTGAGGACCACAGACATAAGTTTTTTTTAAAAATATATGTGAGTTTTGATTACCTTTACTTTATCAGTTTCCAATGAGGATACTGTTGAGTGAAAGAAAGTATTTCAGAAGAATAACATAGACCTTTGTCCTGCAAATAGTCAATTTTAAAGACATTTTTTCTTTTCATAAAACAACAACAAGGCAGGTAGTCTTCTCATAATCATACACAGCTTTAATCTCAATATTCTTTTCATATATAACTAATGTAAAAAAAAGAGAGGAACATTCTCATGTCAAAGTTGACAACTAACTGAATGTAGGAAGGCCCCAAAAACACAAGTACACAGCTGGACTGTTTCTGTTTTTGTCTTTATTTAGTTACAGTTATAAATATGAGTTAATAGAAAAATAAACTGTCATGCTCCTTCACACAGCGATTCAAAGTCAAATAAATATAAATTAATTCTTTCTTGTCTTTATCAAGTCTGAACAACTATCAACTAACATAACAGTGAAAGTGAAAGCACATTTCAAAACATTAATGAGCAGAGCATTGGCAGTAGACGTATTTGGATAAGTTTTTAAACTTTTACTTTTGGTTATTACGTCACGTCCTTCTAGAAACTGTATGATTATGAATATGATGCATTAATTCAACAATGTAACAATTTAGTCTCACTCTTGCATCTGTGGAGAAGGTGTCCTGAGCTTAGACAAAAAATTATGCACTTTTTAAAGTAACACTCGTATAAAGACAGTAATGAAGAGCAGGCACATCCAAGAAGTATAACCAAGAAGGTCACTTTGTTCAGTATAAATTTCCTACTGAATTTGTCTCTTCTTCGTTCTGTAACTTTTTTTCCTTTACATCGAGCTTCCATTCTTTGTTCTTTTTTTTTTAAGGACAAGAAAGTTTCATCCTCAAGACCTTTTTTCTTTAAAGAAATACTGACAGAAAACTGTAATGGTATAATGGGTGTTGTTCCTACAAAGTAGTTACATGATCTGTTCCCACAAAGTTGTCACATTATCGTACATGACATAGTACATTCAAACCAACGGCAACAAAGAATTTTGTTCAACATGATAGATATAGGCAATATGAAATAGTTCACTTCTACCCCATGCACAACCAAATTAGCAACAACTTTTCTCACTACTTGAGCACAAAAAAAAAATTAAAATATGTCATCACCTCAAGCCATCCTCCACACACTCAAATTCCTGACAAAAACTGGAATACCTGGCCAAGAGTACTACACTAATTGATCATGGTGACCCAAATTATAGATTAATTTGAACCACTAAAACATGTTTCCAAAAAAAAGTAAGAAAGTAATGAAAAAAAATATGCACAGCAATGTATTTCGTATGATGAAGCCATACATATAATATATTGAAGCTTGATAAAGATTTGTCATGTATAGTTTTAGCATGTTCTCTAATTTTATTAAAACTTTCATTTTTTAAAATTTTGAGTCATGCCACATCTGCCTACTTCTCATTGGCACATTTTTATTTAACAAAAATTTTAAAATCAGAAATCTAAAATTGTTTCACAATCATGTGAAGTCTGAACGAGACAGACAATGTTTATATAGTACTGGACACTTTCTAGTGGGAAACATGAGGAATCTCACAAGGTGGTCGTCTCATTAAGTGTCTACAACATCTTTCCGATGGAGAAAAAAACAAAACAACATCCTGTTTTACTTTTACACAAAGGCAATCATTATCATAGATTGATCACATTCACAACTTTGGCTGCATCTTCTTCATGAGCTTCTCCAGTTTCATGGCCGCCCTCATGTCTCCCTTAATCTTGAGCTTGCCCGTCATGAAGGAGGTGGTGGCGTTGGCTTTGCCAGCAAACATGTCTTGGAACAGGCCACTGTCCAAGACCATGGTGCAGTCGGCGCCTTCCAGTGTACCTGGAGCAACCACTCCTTTCCCAGATTTCAAGTCCAGATAATACTTACCAGAATCAGGGCCTGAACACAGAGAGAGAAAAATTAACCGTATTTCAGCTGGTAGTATTACAGATTAGCTGATATATCATAAAGTTGATAAAGAGTTGTTTTTTTTAAATTATTATCATGCTTCAGCTAACATACCATTATTTATATGTATGTAAAAATAAATCACACTTTAGCTGATATATCATCATTAAGAGGGAGTACGAAGAATAAGATCAAGGGAGACAAAAAAAAATAAAATCAACTATTTTTCAGCTGAGCTCATCCTTTCTGTCCCTTTCATTTTAAGCAAGAAAAATTTTGAAATTAAGCAAATGGAGCCCAAAAATGTGAAGTTATGCAATTCTATTAATTTTAACAAAGAATGATAATAATAATAATGAAGATCATTTCTATAGCGCCCACTCCCGTGTAAACACAGCTTAAGGCGCTTTACATAAATGCATGTACGAACAATATTCATGCACGCGACACACACATGCACACTCATACACACACACACACACTCACGCACACATGTGCACACACATAAAGGAAAATAATAAGAAATTATGCAAAAACTGATCAAATTTTGCTAAATTATGCAGGGCACATAAAACCACGGGGACAGTCCTTTGTAGCATCTATTCTCTTTTTTCTTCGATGTCGTGGCAATTGTGGTTTGTCAAGATCTATATTATTATAATAATCCTGGCCTTTTCCTATAACCCATGTGTTCAAGTTCTCTACGTAAGTTAGTCTTGGTCTACCTCTGCCTCTTGCCATCTAATTTTCCAGTGAGAGTAAGATGTTTTAGGCCATTATTAATTACAGTGAAACTCGAATGCAACAAACTCAGATTCAACTAAAGAAGCAGGATTCCCCATTTTTTGATTCATTAAAAGAGCAAATATGATTCAATCAAGCCGCTTGCCAGATGAGCAGCTCCCCCTAATGTGACTTCACTCATATTATTTTTCTTCTGCAGCTAAATTTATCTGCCCTATTCCAGGGGACTATCAATCGCACCTGCACTGTCAATCATTACGCTCCATGTTGTTTTCAGATTAACTGTTCAGTTTAAACCGATTCAACTGAGGTTACAAAAATTAATTGTTGACCCATGTAATAAGGTTCACAGTACATCATTAGCGTATAAAACCAAGCCAACCTCAATTTAAACTAAACATTAATATTTAAATAATAGCCCATAGTCATAAGTCCACTATTTGCATTTGAAAACTGATAAATTTGGTCAAAATAAACCCTGTAGTCTCACCTGAAAGGTCAAACTGGAAGCTGGAGTTCATTTCCTTGACCAAGTCCTCAGACAAAAGCCCCTCGAGGGCCTTGAACATCGTCGTAAGTCCTGAGCTCACAGCCGCCCCGGCTGATGCCTCTTCTCCCGCTTCAGCAGGGTCAGCGTCCAGGAAAAAATCTGGCATCAATTTTGCTCCTGTGATTGTAATTATAAGATGTTTTACACCCCTATCAACACTTTTATTTCGGGGGGGGGGGGGGGGGGGGGGGGGGGGGGGAGGTTGTTGCTGCTTCAACTTTGACCCTGACTGTCGGAGTCAACCTGGGCTGAGAAGGATACAGCATTCCTGCAGACAGCCAAAAGCATTACTACTATACCGGAGACACCAGTCTGTACTTCTCACATGATAAAGGAGATGCAAAGCCTCTTTAAGTTCTAACTAAGAATAAAGTAAGAAAATAGAATTTCAGAATAGGAAAGGGGAGAAAAAACTGAAGTGGCAATATCTGAGTACTATCAAAACATTTTTAAATTTAAACACTATAAATAATTTTTTTTTACATTTACTATTCATGCCATGTACTGCTAAAAATAAAGTTTTTAATTAACTGTACAATGTCATATTCAACATGTATCAGAAATACAAATTAGACCATTAATATGATACTAGTAAAAGTTAGGGGGGGGAGAGCATTTATTTCATTTTTTCTTATACATTTGGAACTTTTTTAGCTACTGTGCCCAAGTCTAAAAATTCTCCTACCACAAACCTGGAACACAAGAATATTTCTCCATGTCAGTCACTCCAGCTTCAGTAAGAACTTCATCGTCGATGGCAAAGTTTCCAGTGTACTTGCTGCTGTCCTTAGACAAAATGACGTACGCCGCGTCACTCATGATCTCAACGTCACGGCATTGCTCCTTCACCTCGCTACCACCGCCCAACATCTCCATCGCAGCTGTGTAGATTGCTACATGGGGACAGACAAACAGAATCACATTTGAGTTGCATTATTGAGAATATCATGGAAGGAAAAGAAATCAAATGAGGTAGTGCTTGATGAAGCCCACTTGGGACGCTCAATGTTAAAAACAATCAGGAAATGACAAATGCAGTTTTTGGGACACCTGAATAGACATAAGGGTCTTGAACATCTAACTCTCACTGGCAAAATTGAGGGCAAGCGAGGCAGGGGTAGGCCCAGAACAACATACTTAGGGAACCTAAACAAATGGGTAACAGGGAAAGATCAGGGAAACGTAACTTTTTTGAAAGCATCCAAGCAAAGGAATGAAAGGAGAACCATGATGGCCGATGTCTGTCACAGATCTGGCACTGGATGAAGATGATGATTGAGAACTCTCATCATGGGCGAAGCATGACTACGTTTTCGGGTCAGAATTCTCTTGCGTTTGGGGGGTGGGGGGGGAGGCTTTGTCTAGCATACAGGTGCCAATGAGAAGGCTAGTAATGCAGTGGAGCTTTAAAAACAAAGTCTATATTGATGGAGCACTGCACAGATGGGACTTTTTCTCTAGAAGCCTATTTTACAGGGGAAGTTAAAAAATTAAACCACCAAAGACCACTTCATTTCAAATTGCATGTCAATCTTTTCTGCATTTCTACTCATTGAATTTTGACACCATTTATTGAGATGACGTATTTACCTCACTTTACAAAGCATAAATTTTTTTTAAGAAGGCTCAATTGTCCATGACATCAATATGATGAGCGGAGTTCTCCTTACCTGTACGTGGCCACAAAGCATTCACAGCCACACGGTCATCCCTAAACTCCTCAGCCATACCCAGAACACACATAGACATGCCATACTTGGCCATGGTGTATGCTGGAAAACACAAGAAAAGACATAAATACAGAACTGCATTGCTTTGAGTAAGGAGATAACAGTCATTTAGTGCACAGAAAAGAAAAGACAAACAGGCAGACCCCAAAAAAAAGAAAAGAAAAAAAAAAGAAAATTCCAGCAGCACCCTCCAACCATCTACAGTATTAAATAAATGTCTGTTCAGGATAACAGAAAGAAGTATAAAGACACAATGATAGCTTTTAGTCAAACTCCGCTAGAAAAAGCAAGGTAGACAAAAATAATACTCTGTGAAAAAAAAAAGCCAACAACATTATCCAAACAAAAGGAAGACATTTTTTTTTTTTACGAATACTTTACTCTACAGCTTTTTCTATTCATATTCAACTTTTTCCTATGGAGTTTGGTTTTCCTGTGTCTCGGATGAACTAATTTCTAGAACAATAAAAACATTCAGTGGTGAGAGAAAAACACCTATAGTTTCAACAGTAACTCAGGGAAAATCTCAATTCTGGCATCAATGACAGGAAAAATGCAATAGAAAAATGCAATAGGAACAAAACAAGTGTACTATATTATGATAAAATGCTCAATGACACAGCTCAGTAACCACCCATTAACCATCCAGACTCATATAATACATAAATTCACATTTCTCTGAGGAAGAATTCAAAGTGGTGGGATTTTTCCCTTTATTATTTTCATAGAATAATCAGTCACCTACCCACATGACCCTGGAACCATTTTGCACTCATGTTCAGTGGAGGGCTGATGTTGAGAATGTGAGGGTTCTTACTCTTCAGGAGATATGGAAGGCACACCTTGGAACTGTAACAGATTCAGTTTATGCAAATTAATGACCATCTTTAACATTTACTCAGGAGTTCAAAGACAAGTATACACAAAATTGAAACACATATAAATTCATTACCTTGTGAGAAAAATTTTTAATAACATAAGTAAAACACTAGATACAGACAAAATGTATAAACATGTAAAATTGAATACACCTGTTGCTCTTTCCAGTTTATCTTTCTTAGAAAGAGAAAAAGTCACAAAACATACACCCACACATCAATAGTAATAGTTGTTTGTTTGTTTAGTAAAGCAAAAGGGAAAGAAAAGAAGTAAGACCTACAAGGGACGCCCACCAATTACCCATATCAGCAGATCAAAGACATATCTTACCTTAGCAATGATTTATAATACAATGTTTCAAAAATTAAATTAAACTGATCAAATAGAACTGCTCTTCTTTCCACAATTTTTCTAGATTTCCAAACATCATTTCTTCTACTCAGTGTGAAGGACAGCAATTTCAACAGTGTGACCAAAGAGACCAAAAGGAGGCTAGACTCACCAGAGATATGTGCCACGGGCATTGATAGAGTTCATCAAGTCATAGGTCTTCATGGGCGTCTTCAGTGTGCCGGTGAGAGAGATGGCGCTAGCATTGTTGATCAACACATCAATTCCTCCAAACTTGGCAACCGTCTCCTGCACAGCATTCTGAACCTGCTCCTCACTTCTGATGTCCACGATACAAGGCAAAGCTTTGCCACCGGCTTTGTTGACTAGGAAACAAAAAATAAAATAAAATAAAATAAGAATAAGAATAAGAATAATAACAAATAGCATTCAGACAGTACAAATTCTTTAAAATTTATAACTCTTTCATAGGATTTTTTCAAGAAGGAATCCCTGTTATATTATAGATGTATACTATCTACAATGCATAACACTATTTTGATAATAGCAACAGAAGAAACCTTGTAGTAAGGCTCTCAGATTCTTCACAATCATTTCTGTGGCATTTTACTGAAAAATATTGATCAACAAGTCTCCAAACTAAGATCCCACTGCTTACGATCCCGGTTCGCTTAAGATCCCTCTGTTTTAAGAAAACAGAATTTTTACGATACAAAATTAATCCCTAAGATCCCGCTCTGATTCACTCTGAAGGTCTACATTAGGCTAAGATCCCGCATTTCAGACAAAATTTACCGAACAAAAACCCAGGCGGGCACAGCTGATCAACCAAGAGTGAAAATTTGCGATCATTGAACTACCTGTTGCGTCAAAGATCAACCACTCGTGTTTATGATCGCATGTGCATTGTAAGTCACAATGAAATGGTACAAAGTTTGCCCCAGACAGGATCACACTGAGGTGTGAATTCGCCAATGCATTTGTTTTCTCCAAACATCGCATTCGCATCTGAGCTCTCCTCCTAAACTTACATCACACTCTGCGTGGGTAATACCTACAACTTTGCTCCAGTCAGGATCACAATCTCAAGGGATGGTGAACTCTTCCCCAACCATTGCAGCAGTTGCCTCTACTCCCGAATTTGCAAGACAGACTGAATTTTAATTGGTGTGTTCTACTAATAGGCCCTGGTGCGGTCACAACGTACTAGTGCATAACGACAAAGGTGGGGGGGGAACTCAGTCAGAGATGGAAAGCTATAAATTTTGGATAGGTAAAGGGGAGGGGCAACTGGAAAAGCTTAGATCTTGAGACTCACGATAGGATATTAAGAGAAAATGGCATGCTTTAATCGATTGTGATTGGTCATCAAGCAGGTTGATCCCTCTTTGCTCGCCAAAAGTCATAAACCCACTCAAGGGTCACATCAGTTCATTTTAGAGTGAAGGGAGACCATTTTACTGGTTGTGTACTTGACCAGGATCACCACAGATTCTTCCCATGGTGCATCACCTAAGATCCCGTATTTTTCTTGCTCCCGAGCAGTGGGATCCTAGGCGGAGACTAATGTATTATTGTAAAAATGTGAATTTGTTATCTCCAAGAACACTCAAGCTTTAGAAGTCAGCAAACTTTGGCAGCCATTTTCTCACTAATTTTACACCAGACACCAGGCAACCCCTACCTGAAATTGCAAATATCTGGACTTCTATTCAAGATAGATGAGTTTTTTCCCTCAAAAACAGGATAAATAAACAAGCTTTATGATTATGGCAATAGCTCCATTTGTCCAAAAGTTGAAAAGTGCCTGATTCACCATGTCGTATCATGTATCATCAAAAGAATTCTTACTTTCTTCGGCAGCTGTGTAGATGGTGCCCGGAAGTTTTGGGTGGGGCTGTGCTGTTTTTGCAGCAATCACAACATTGGCACCATCTTTAGCAACTTTGAGGGCGATGGCTTTTCCAATTCCTCGACTGGCTCCTGAGATGAAGACTGTCTTGCCCGCGAGCCGTCTGCAAAAGTTCAGAAACTCTGAAATATAAACTTGTTTTTCTATCCAGGTTTATGATATTGGTCAAGTTAAAAATAGACATGATGATACTTTCATTCTTTATGAGAATTTGGCGCTTGAAGGCAAATATTTTTTTGTGGCAGCACATTGTGTCGCTGACAATTTTTTAAGTAGAATCTGAATCACTTTCCAAATCAAGATTATCATGTTTATCAGGTCCTTCTACTATAATATCTGTTTTTTCTGCTTTCAGTCTCACTGTCCGTTTCCCCAAGGCTGCTAATGGTTAATATTTCAGCATGGAAACTGAGTTAGATCTAGATCCAAAATTGTCAAAGAAACAAAAGCTTATTACACGAATCCTAATTTATGACAGCATAGATTTAATTCTGGCAGTTCAGGAAAACCATGAATTTAATTCTGGCTGATAGGAGTTAAGAGGCCTTAATACAGTGGAACTTGGATTCAACTAGCTCGGATTCTTCAATTAGAATCGGATTCAATGAGATGAGACGGATTATGTCACGGATTTCCCGTTTTTTTTCTTCTTTAAAATCAATAAAAATAACCCGAATCGAACGAGCACTTAAATCAGCAAGCTCGGATTCAACGAGGTCGCTTCCTGGGTGAACACCCCCGAAGACGTGGTTTCCGCACCTTTTACGTTCATTTAAAAACACATTTGCACGCAGATTTTACTGAAAAACATTGATTAACACTACGCCCCCACAGGACGCCGACCGGAAAAAGTAAGAAGCCGTCCTTTTTCCCCAATGGGACGCCAATCGATGGCGGTGTGATATAGCAAGTACCGGAGAGAGCGCTACGTTGGTGAAAAGTGTTAAAAGCACGAAAAATGCCCCTCAAGCCATGGAAGTCAGCAGACTTTGAGCACTTTGGCAGCCCTCGCTAATTTTACCTCTCAAACCAGATGATCCGCTCACCTCCTTCAATTGCAATATCTCGACTTCTATTCTTTTTAACATAGAGATGGACATTTTTTACACCAATAACAAGGCAAATTAACAGGTTTTAAGACAATACCAGTAACCTCATTGCCTCAAAACTGACGAGCGCCCGATTCCACCATGTCGTGCCACATTGTATTTGAGCATCAGGATTCAAGACCGATGCCTGTGCTCCACCATAGTATTCACGGTCTAGCAATATTTTAGGTGATAGTGCATCACCATATACATGCCATTGCCGCAAGAACTATAGTAGTAGGCCCATTATTACTATGACCATGCCACTGCGTTGGCCTACCATTCATGATTCTGATTAGTAGAGCTCTATGAAGTAGCTCCTAATAATATACCTAGATTCTTAGTGAGCTTTGAAAGATGATTTAATGTTAAAAGATGTAGATCTAGAGTCTAGAGTATAGATCTAGATTAGGCTACTACAGAGGTTGACCCCTCTCACTCATACAGGAATACAAGACATTGGACAGTTGAAGGGTAGGCATAGATCTACACCCAACGGAGGAAGAAACAGAGAGAAACAGTCAAGTATAGAAGAAGTTGATAAACATAATATAACAATGATAAATCCATCAATGATTCTACCGATCAAAACAAAATAGAAAAACCCTCCTGAACTGTTCTAGAATTAGAATCTCTATCTACTAAAACTTACCCTGTATTTGCTGCCATTCTGCTCTATTCAGATTCTACTGCAAGGCTAGATCTAGATGTTGATTATTAATTCTAGGTTTAATGCAACTTGGTTCCTGATACGAGACCAAAGATTTCGGAGGTACCGGTATTTGATGTGTTCAGTCAATGCTGCTGACTCGCCCGGTCCCTTAGCTAAAGACGGAAATAAGGTCGAGCCTATGCGTGTTTTGTTCTAGTTCTAGTTCTAGTTATAAAAAGGGAGCTGACCTTTGTACTTTGTACCAAACTCCTAAAGATTCTAAATTTTAGAACCCAAAGCTTCTGCTAGCCTTGGGGCCTATGACATACAGAAGGTTCAATTTTAATTTTGGAGGATATCTGAAATAATTATATAATCTTTTCACAACATTTAGAATTGTTTTTAAAGGTGTTGTGCGTTTAAAATGAAAGATATTATAACCTAAAATAGTTATTATTTAGAAAATAGTATTGTTTCGCAAATGAAAATGGGATTGTATAAAAAGTTCAAAGGGTCAGCGACCTATAAACTCAACCAGGCCTGTGTTTTGCCTCGGTGATAACGAGTGACAGATCGAAAAATCAAAGGTAAAATTGACTGTATAACAATTTCATGCTTGATTCAATATATATTCAGGACATATTTCTATCGCCTGGTTTGATGGGGAACTGTGAGCCTTGATTAATCGTAACTAGAATCTAGATCTAGATAAACTCTGGTGCTATGATGCACGAAGTAGACATGAATCAATGAATGAAATTTGGTCTGCTGCACTTTGTACTCCTACACCACAGTGTTTACAGTTGACCTATTGAGCCTATTGTGACTAGATTTAGATCTAGGCTAGGCTAGGCTAGTGCTAGGCCTATTGAAAGTTATAGTTATTGCCAGTACCCAGTTCTGTTCAGTTTACCTTTGCACCCTCAGTTAAATCTGAATTACGTTAACACAACTTTGACTTTTTACCTTATTTATATCTAGATTCTAGATCTAAATTTAGATTTAGATCTAGATCTACATGATGTCTCTTTTTTGTGTCAATGCAAAGAGCGGTTGTTAGAGAGGAGACTTTAAAAAAAATTTATTTATGATGTGGTTGTTTTTACAGTTTATGCCCCCCTCCCCCCCAATAGAGTTAAGAATATTTAGATAATTAGGGGATGGATTGTGTACTTTACCGGACCACCCGTCTCGGCCCGTGATTACTACGCACGCCTAGCCTAACTACGCACTCATAGTACTCTACGTGCGGACAAAAGGTAGTTCCGCAGGCGATTTCGCGCTCGCACAGCGCAAGCCAGCGGAGAGTGGCGAGGCGAGGTGAGCGAGAGGTGGTGGTTGAGGGTGGGCAGGGGAATTAACTTTGGTGGACCACCGTGTATCATACCAACAGTGGGGAGGGGGGGGTCAGGGGGGCTTGCCCCCCTGCTGGAAACTATAATAAAGGAAACACACTAATGCGAAACAATACAATAACATGAGCGGACAGTCGTGTTTACATATTATATCAATGTAACTAACGACAGTGGGGGGGAGGGGGGGGGGTTTCAGGGGCCCCCCTGGCAACAATAATTTAAAGACACACACACACACACATATAAACAATAACTTGAGCGGACAATCGAGGTAGATACTCGCCAAGTCGCGAGTAGGGCCGAGAGGGTTGCAATTATGCAAATGAGCTCTTGTGCGCATCTCTAGCCCTCCATAAATACTTTGCCGGACCAGGAGTAGGCTAAGCCAGTAGAGTCGTGAACAAATAAGAATAGTGGACCACGTGATTAGACTGACCAATTAGCCTCAAGGTGTCAGGGTTGTGGGTCAAAGGGCACAGTGGCATGGTCGGGATGACTGAAAAACCCGGTAAGAGACGTCAGTCGATTGTTGGCAGTCGAAGGGTGAGGACGTAGAAAACTGAGTAGGAGAGTGAGTAGGGGAGCTTGGAAAGGAAGAATAGCGGGCCATTAGGCACCAGGGGCGCCATAGCGAAAGTTGTTCCGACCGGTGGTCCGGTAAAGTACAATCTTACCTAATTATGCCCTAGAAGCCAATTTTGTCTGAGAGGCATAGCCTACAACGTCCCAGTAGAAAGACTGAGATACTTGATAAAAATTCTCCCCATTCAGGAATCAATCTGGTCTCCTGCATTCGAAAGCAAAACCCTGACCACTAGATCTAGGTCTACACCACAGACGCTGGATATAGATTCAAGCATATATATATATATACAGTCAAACCTGTGTAAGACGGCCACCCATTGTCAATGAGAAAAGTGGCCGTATAAGACAGGTGGCCGTCTTAGGCAGGACTGATCTAGATAAAGAAAACAAACCATTCCCATCTGAGGTCCCAATCGAAAGTAGCCACAGTATGTTGTCTTTGTTAGTGTTGTTGTTGTTGGTTTGTATTTCGTTTGTAATTTTTATTTTGTCGCTGATTTTGCACAAGGGGGACAATAAAACTAAATGTATCAGACAAGGAGGACTGAGTGCCATGTTAAAACAAACACATGGGTCGCCACCACTCGGAGAACGAGCGACGCTTCTGTCACACGTTCATGTTGACGTCCATTGTTACTTTGTTACAGACTGAGTAAACAGTGACCACTCATCTCACTTACGATTTGTGTATGAGTTCTGGGCGGGGCTTATGGGTTATGAGGGATCACACGCTTACCTCACCAGCAGCTGAAAATTGGTAGCTATTGGTCAACAGTATGAGGGGCCTACGCAAAATGATCGGTTGGAGGGACTACCTAACAACAACGACAGGTGATTGAATTATGACGGCTCGCCCACAACGTCAGGGGCCAATGCACAATTTATGACAAAACGTAATGGAGTCACTAAGGTGGCCGTCTAAGACAGGTGTTATTGCTTAGTATGATAGGGGTTGTGCGTTAAAATATGGTGGCCGTGGCCGCGTTGGACAGGTGCCCGTTTTACACAGTTAAATTATATAGAAAAAACGCAAGGGGGGAAATGGAAAGTGGCCGTTTGTACAGGTGGCCGTCTTATAGAGGTGGCCGTCAGGGCAGGTTCGACTGTATATAGAAAACAGAATATAATATTTTCTTAGCCTCTATAGTAACTAAACAATGAAACCAAACCCTAAATTTTGTAAAGACTCTCCATATTCAGAAATTACTGATTTTCCCCTTGCTTTACGATCAAACCTGCCCAAAGAAATTTATGTCCCCAAGATGGAAACGTGTCGAATATGTCCCCGCTTAGAAGACAGTGAATCCTTCTGCTATCTTGGGAGTATTATTTTCAAAGAAGGAGGAACAGGTGCTGAAATGAAGTCCTGCATTGGAAAAGCACAGACTAGGCTGCTTTCATTATATCTATCTTTGAATAGGATTTAGAAGACTAGAGATATCTCACTTTGAACAAAGTTGGGGATCAATTCAAATGTGAAGTCAGTTCTGTTGTATGGATGTGAGACATGGAACTCATCTCAGACTTGTATAAAGAGGATCCAGATTTTCTTGAACAAGTGTCTAAGAAAGTTACTGAGGATCAGATGGACCGACAGGGTCACCAACGAGGAAATGTGAGGAAAACAAAGACAGAGAGATCCCAGCCAGAGATGAGGTAGGATGAAGGCGGTGGCAATGAATTGGAACATATTCTTAGGAAGTCAGGCATCTGCATAACAAAGAAAGCGCTGGAATGCAATCCATGGGGTAAAAGATCAAGGGGAAGACTTCGTGGAAGCTGGAGAAGGATTCTGGCCCCGCATAAAATTGCGTTTTTGAAATACAAAAATTGCAAAAAATTGCAAGGTTAACTGTCTAGAAATGGCAAAAAATTGCAACCTTCCCATCCCAGGCGCATTATTACGGGCTTAACATTTTTAGTTTAAAAAACATGATAAATTAATTTGAGTACCAGTAGCATTAATATAAAGCAGAACAGCCTTTTAAAAAATCATGACCCACAATACAAATTTTATTAACAACACACAAGTACGTTAACAATAAAGTTATCGACCAAATATAATATAATACCGCGTGACCCAAAATAACGGAACCCTCGGTATTCGTAATAACTTTTAAATGAAGGCATAAAATTTAACCAAATTTAGTAACTGGGTACTTGGTTCATGCACAGATCTAGAAGTGTAGTATGAGGTTTAGTTTATTCAATAAAAAAGAAAAGAAATTATGGGTGATTCGAACAAGCAAAATTAGCTTATGCCCCAATCAATTCAGATCCTATTCTATTTTTCTCTTGATACTTTCGATACACCACAGTAATCTGTATTTAGGTATATTTCAGATATTTTCTTTTTTAAAACCAGTATGGTATTGTTTTAACTCCAAGTCAAACCGTAAAATACAGCAATTTTTTTTCTCCATTTAATTGTAATACATGTAATAATGTAGATCATTTCTATAGCGACCACTCGTGTGTGAACGCAGCTTAAGGCGTTTTACATTTATTGAGTGTCTACGTACACGGTAACCGGGCACCTAGTCTAGCGTCAGTGTCTACGTACACGGTAACCGGCAACCGGGCACGTAGTTTCAGTGTCGTCACGTACACGGTAACCGGGCAGTTCAGAACTCCAAGTTCAGTTTTTATCATCCGGTGTTGCCTTCAACCCCAGCCATCTCCTGACTGTACCTTTTTAAAAAAATCAACAATCCCCCATTCCAGAACCCTAGCCTATATACTTCGCAGCGCACAGACTTTGAATGAACTTTGGTGACCCCAACCGGTACTCACAATGTGATGCGAAAGCACAGGTTCACTGACCAGTCACGATGGCAAACCCGACAAGACGCTTGTACAAGTACAAGTATGACTTTCTTTTTTTTTTCAACAAGTGACGGCACTGGACAAATATTGATTTATTTTCATTCCGGTTACCGTGCATGTAAATACTGAGACTAGGTGCCCGGCTACCGTGTATGTAGACACATGCATCATGTACGAACAATATTCGCGCGCGCGCACGCACGCACACACACACACACCTTACATGCGCACACACATGCACACCACACACACACCTACTTTCTTATCACACGCGCACGCTCAATCTTACGCACATTAGATCTCTATGTCTCAGTTTGTGTTGTACCTGTATTCCGGCCTAAATTTCCAGTTATAGCTTTCAGAGTACGCCCAGTAGTAGACTAGAGCGACCGAAAAAAAATTTTCTCTAAAATTGTCTCCCTTCACCTCCTTTCCTGCTCTCTAGCAATACTCTGGCGTCTGCTTTCGTCTCCTCTTTCTGCCCCCACCCCCTCACCTCCTTTGCCCCCCTCCTCTGGGCTCCTGACTCTTTCTGCAGCCTTTATACTGCTACTCCTTGACTCCTTCTTACAGCTGTCTTTCTGCCACACCCCTGATCTTCTGGTAGGAAAGATCTACACCTATAGCCTTCTCGGACAAGGGGGAAAAATCTCGGAGGGCCCATGTGCAAGTTGCGCACGTTAAAGATCCCTTGGTGGTCTAAAATCGATAAGAGTAGGCTTCGGCCGCCACACGGGCAAAATTCTAAATTTCCTACCAACTAAAAGTATTAGCTGTGTCCCGCACGCTCATATGACCTTATGCAGTTGTGAGCGCTGTAAAACACTTACCAAAAGAAAAAAAAAAGACTAGAGCTGGGGCGAAACCATGATTTAAGTAGGCCTATCGGCTCTGTACTCGCACCATTTTGAATTTAAAATTCCGTTAAAATTAAAGCGTTGATGTTATTTTGCCTAAAATTGCAAGAAATTGCGAAAACTGCAAAAAATTGCGGCTTTAATCCGGAACTCGACGAAAAACGTAGCCGCAAGACCGCACTTTCCTGGGGGGCCAGAGAATTACAAAAATTGATAGAGGTACAGAAAAGTGAGAAGACATGGAATAACATCGAGAGGCTAGCCCAGGATAGAGAAAGGTTGAAAGTGTTTGTCCGTGGCCAATATACCCTGGCGCAGGGTGACAAAGGCAATGATAATCTCCCTGCTTCCCCCATGATGAATTCATATAGATAGGCCTATATCTACAATATAGTACCTGTCTAAGATGGAAACCTTCACAACCCAAAACAGCCCAGTTCTAAGAGAGTCGTTCTGGTAGACAGAGAAGGGGTGGACTCCTAAACATTTATCCGATCCTTAGAAAAGGGGTAAACGTCCATCTTCTTCAAGGCTGGCAGGTCCTGAGACTTAGATGGCCACACTTCAAAAACTGAAGGATGTGCTTCTTACATTTCGAATTCTTAGTTATAGTTAAAAGTGCAATATATTCCTATGCTCTGCTGAGAAGGTGGGCCGCTCCTGTAAAAAAGAAAAATGACCTTTGAATTTCAGAAGGCTCTTGTGAATCTTAAAGGGAATCATTTTAGGGATTGTTTGTTGCAATGATATAACATACTCTCAGCAAAAAAGTGAAATGGCTTTAAATAAAACTAATTAGGATCCTTACTCTCTCACTGTTTGTTATTCACAGCCTGAAGTCTGGTATCTATGTCTATCATACCCTTGGCCGTCTTGCTCAACTTTTCTTTTGATCTGTACAGCTTCTCCTGTAGTGTCAATGTGGTTGGCCACATTTCCTGTCTCAGAAACCCTGTGTGTCCTGCATTGCTGAAGGATGTGTTCCACATTGTCAAAAATAATACTGATGTTGGGTTTTTTTCGTTTTAATTTGTGTGCAATCATTATTTTAAAGTTATAATTTTATATTTGTTGTTTTCCTTTTTTCAGTGTAAGTTATTGTTGTCCTGATGAACAAGATGTTGTCGAATCGGACGTATGTCATCGGTGTGGGGATGACACGGTTTTTTAAACCTCTCACCAGAGAATGGGACTATCCTGATATGGCCAGGGAGTCAGGTTGGTACGTGTAGTTGAAGTTGTGCCAAAGTTTTATTCAAGTCCTTTTGGATGGAATAGATTATGTGTCATCATTCCTCTTTGTAACAGCAGGCAAGGATACTAGACAGTATTGATTATTCCAACTGGAAAAAATACAATGGTGTTCACAATGAGTTTCCTCTGTAAAATTTGGTGCAAGGCTAGATCACCTGCCTCAAGTGATTTTCTGTGGCAAAATACAGGGTGATTAAAAAAAAAAAACGCCAAAATCATCACGCGATATTTTAAGAACAAAAAAAACAAACAAAAAACAATAGAAGACTGTAGCTTGGACACATGTGTTGTACAAACCTTCAAGTTTTTATTTCCTTGTTTTGCAAGTGCTCAATGCAGCACGGACAGCATCAAGACGATATGAGAGTTCCTCCCAAACCCACCTTAGAATGTCTCAGGCCACTGTGTTGATTGTAGCTGTTATTCGATTGTTCTTGCCACCAATATTTGCTTTCTTTAACATATTTCCACACAAAAAATCACACACAGTGAGGTCCGGAGATCTGGCAGGCCAACTGCAGAGAGCGAGTTCTTTAGCCTACTAACCTACCACTAAGGCACATTTTCATTCAGTTAAGCAATGTGTACAACACATGTGCCCAAGCTGGAGTTTTCTGTTGGTTTTCATTTTAAAAATATCAGGTGATGGTTTTGGTGTATTCGTTTTTAATCGCCCTGCATTTCAGAATGAGTTAGAGCTAAGATTTCTATCATCATATAATGTACCTAAAGTAACAAATTGCTTTTAATATTGTGCTGCTTCTGTAATGAAGTCCGTTGTCATGCCCCAGGTCAAGCTGCTTTGGCAGATGCTGGCATCAGCTACAAGGACGTCCAGGCGGTTGTTGCCAGCTACTGCTACGGAGAGCCAACGAGCGGCCAGAGAGCTGTCTATGAGTTGGGCCTAACTGGCGTGCCTGTGTTCAATGTCAACAACAACTGCTCTTCTGGTTCAACTGCACTGATGATGGCTCGACGTCTTGTCATGAGCGGGATAGAAGACTGTGTCCTTGCTCTAGGTCAGTTTATAAGCAGGCCCATCTTTCTTCTGAAATTTCTGCCTTTTTAAAATTTTTAATAGTTCATCTTTCATTGGGAATTTTAATTTAAATATTATTATTATCTACTGATTCTCTTCTCTGTGACAATGGGATAAACTGGTCTGAGTAAGTTAATACAGTATAATACGGATAACTCAAATTCGTAGGTAGTTTGAGGGATCCGTAGTTTTAGGGATACGTGAACAGTGTTATGGCATCGACTGTCTCAAAGAATCAAGGGAAGCAACGAAGATTAGGTCGGAATAGAGATTTTTCTTTTTTTGGCCATTGTCCTGGATCAGATAGGTTAGATCTGTGCCTATTGACTTGAATTTGAAATTTGAGAGAATTTGAAATTGACTGATTGAGAATGAGAAACATGATGAGCAAAGCTTTGGAGTTCAATCGGTAATGAGCCTACCCGTACCAAGACAGTTTCATTGCGCAGGTCAATGTGAGTGGTCTTTAGTCTGCATCAATCGAACTGTGCCTTTTCAAAATTTTCAAAACATAAAACAATTTGACAAGATAAACATATCGTAGCAGTAATCAACAACGTGATAATGAAACAATGCAGCACTACTCCGCCTCTCCCACCAAGCGTGCAGTCTTTTTCAAAGAGGAGTGGGGCGGCTAATCGTGTGATGCACACCCCTTCTCTCGCCTGCTCCACACAAGTCTAGCTAGGTCTAGGAACGAGGCCCCCGCAGAGGGCACGCGTGTCGAGCAGTGCGCTAAAAATACCCCACAGCTTGCTGCTTCTGTGGACGGGGAGTATTTCACCAACCTTGCCTTTTTCCATTTTTTGAAATTGTTAGGCCTATTATTATTTTGCTTCAAGTGCACCTCCAAGGACATTGACTTTAGACCTTTACGGCAGCGTAATTAGTTCGACTATTCCGTGTTTGTATTCAAGCTTCGCGTAATTTTCTTACAAAGGGGAAAAAATGAAACCGCAGACACAGTTCGACGGATGCGTGATTTCGAGTAGTCTGTGTTCGACCTATCCAGGTTATACTGTATTCAGCCTTCTGAGTCATGGGCAGTTTCAATACAGTTGATTTAATGAAAAGATATGACTAATAAAATGATGGGACTTGCTTCTAAGGTTTTGTAGGGAGTTTATCCTCACTTGTCAGTGTTGTTGAAAAATTTTGTAACGCAGAAAAAGAAGAGAAAGACAAATGTGTGTGCCTTCACACACATACACCCTTACTTACACTCAAACATACACACACAAACACACACACACACACACACACACACACACACACACTCACAAATGCGTGCGCACGCATATGGGCGCACATGTTACAAGACCAGAAAACTGGCTGTTAACATGATAATGGTATTAAATGAAGATGAGGCACGCGCGTGGGCAGAGGGGGGCAGAATTTTATTTTATTGTTTAGAACAATAAATTAAATGTGTTTTTTTGTTTAAGGTTTGAGAAGTTTATAGAGTAAAACACTGTCATGAATGTTTTCTGTTCAGGGTTTGAGAAGATGGAAGGTGGACTGTCAGAAAAATATACCGACCGCACATCTCCCGTCAAGAAACACATGGACCACATGGTCGATCTCGGTGCTAAGCCTGGCCTGATAAGTCCCAACATGAACGACATGACTTCAGACGTCATCAAACTGTTTGCGTACGCTGCCCAGGAGTACATGAAGAAATACCCGAAAGGTGCGCAAGAAGCTTTGGTGCAGATCGCCTACAAGAACAGAAAACAGGGTGTGAACAACCCGAGAGCATCTTTCCAGGTATATGATAGTAGTCAGAGCTGTTAAAGTACTTTTAAAAAGGTACTTAAGTACAAATTTAAGTACAATCTAAAATATATACTTAAGTACAGTAAAAGTACTTTCCTGTAAAATGTACTTGAGTACAAGTACTTTTTTAAAAAGTACTTATGAGTACATTTTGAGTACTTTCTGCTAATATGCTAAAACACTTCAAAATGCAAAACATCATATTGAATAACATATCTAGTATATTTGACAAATTCGGCCATTTATTACTAATAATGTAAACAGTATACAAAGCATTTGAATATACGCACTGAACGTAGGTGGAAATTGTCAGTGAAATTGAAAAAAAAAACCCAGCAAACAAACAGACGCAACTAGTGAGTAAGTGATATTATGAATAGAATTTGTTTGAGCAAGACAATATGATCTAATGTAAGTCAGTCCTAGGGGTCGGAAAGAACTTTTTTCCTCAAATAAGCGCCCCTGGTTTATATATTTATACATGTAAGCGGCAGCAGATTCGGGAGTCTCAAAAGTACTCACCCATCTGTTGGACGGAGTTTCTTTGGCGTACGCTAAAGTGTGGCATTGAGGAAAATATGTAAACTTTTTAATGTTTTAAGTGTATGCTAAGAATAAACAAGGTAATGACACTCCTGAAATCGGGAAAATCTGCAAATAAGCCGCATCATTGTTTAAGTTGCAGGGTTTCAAGCCGAAGAAAAAAGTCGCTGCTTATAGCCCGTAATTTATGGTACTCTTTTTTTTCAATACTTTCAGCTGTATAATTTAATTCTCATAATACATACAAAACCAATGAATTAAAAAGTTAACAAACAAATAAATTAATAAATAAACATACTAAATTATTCCTTATTTCAGAAAGAGATGGATATGAAGACAATTGCCACCAAAGCCATGCTGTGCCCACCTATCACGTTTGGTATGACAGCTGCTACAGCAGATGGGAGCGCAGCCGTTATTGTGTGCAGTGAGAACTTTGTGAAAAAACATAAGCTACAGGACAGGGCAGTGGAGATCTTAGCACAGAATATGGTATGATGGAAGATGTATGTAAAAAAAAAAAAAAAAAATTACGCTTTTTATTTGTCCCGAAAGGGCACTTTGTTTTACAATGGCAAACATACATTTACGTATATAAATACATAATAATGAATACGTACATACATAAATACATGCAGAAATACACACATGAATACACAATACTACACAAATACAAAATAGTTTACACACATGCCACTGTCGGTTGCCACTGGGCAGCGCCCTGTATTTTGAGCTAGGGTTGTCGTGTCTTGCTCAAGGACACACCCCAGTGACCACCCATCTGATCCCCGTATCACCGACACTTGCTTGACATTACTTGAGTCAAAACTCACTACTTACTTAGCCTCTGTTTGTGTGATAAGTGAATATGTGTGTGTGTGTGTATTTTTATGTTGGTTAGTGTCTGTGTTCATATCTGTGTGGATGAATAAGTGTATTTGTGCTTGTGAGTGAGTGTGTGTGTTTGTTTGTGTGTGTGTGTGTGTGTTTATTTTATTGTTTATATTAACAATTTTGTAAAACATCATAGACTGCAGTAAAACAGTTGTGATCCTTATTTCGAGTAGGCTACAGTGCCATAATACATTTATTCTACCTTAGTGTGTGTGTTTGTTGTATGCGGTGAGTCAATAATAGTTTGTCAAAAAAAATTAATATGTGGAATAACAACCCATTCTTCAAGACAGAGTAACAGAGATTGTGACATTGTCTAATGCAGTGTGTGTTTGTTAGTGTGTGTTTGTTTTTGTTACATATTAATGTCTCTGGATTATTTTCCCTAGAGGCTTCTTTTCATGAACTTAAATTCATGCACAATGCTTGAGGAAGCAGTTCTTTACAGGGAAGGGGAAAGGCAGGGGGGGGGGGTGCTGCTAGATTGGAGAGAGAGATATAGAAAAGTAGAGAGATGGCGAAAGAGAGAGAGTGTCTTGGGTAGAGATCAGTGATTGTCAGTTATTTGCATTTGATTTTTTGTTCTAAGAGAGCATTGATAAGTGAAAAAAAATTATGACATATCCGCTGAAGTCTTTTAGATGATTTCAAACTACAACATTTCAGGTCACAGATCTACCAAATTCATTTGAGCGATCGTTCATGGATTTGAGTGGTTATTCCATGGCAAGAGAGGCTGCCAAGAAGTGTTTTAACGAAACAAAATTGTGTCCCAAAGATGTTGATGTATTTGAGGTAAGAGATACATTAGTTGTAAAGTTTGGATATATTGGATTTCATTGTAAGCATGGGGAATTTTTAAAAATATTTGTATCATTCACTTCATGGTGTTTGGTTTTAGTTCTTAGAGCAAAGAAATAAGAACTGCCATTACGAAAATGAATAAACTCTGATTTTGTTGTTATGTCTGTTTTCGCTATTTTATTCATGCAAATATGGCATCAAGAAATTGAAATGTAACTAAGATTATAACTAAAAAGCAGTATCTTGTTGTTTTGAGGGCAAGGGAATAATAGATTTTCTCTTCTTGGTTGTGTCGTGTTGTTAATCATCAAGTGTTACATTAATAATAATAATAATGATGATATATGACATCTATATTGCGCTCGAGCGCTTTACAAATACAATAACGCATAAATTTGTTTGCCTTGTTCCCCAGGTCCACGACTGTTTTTCCTGCAATGAGCTCTTCATGTATGAGGCTCTAGGACTGTGTCCTGAGGGGACTGGTGTGTCTTTGGTGGAAAATTCTGAGTGGAAAACCAATAGGAATGGTGGAGAGTTATTGTACTTGGACAAGAAATGGGTTGTCAACCCTTCTGGAGGTCTGGAGTCAAAAGGCCACCCAATAGGAGCATCAGGTATTATTACCAGAATCATTACATTTTAGTGGGGTAAAAATAGCTTCAGGAGTAGTTGGCATCTTCACATATTATGGAAGCTAGAGTTTCATTTTTTTTTAAAATTTTAATTAGGGTTGTTTTTGTTGTGTTTTTTTTTGGGGGGGGGAGATGTTAGTATTTCTTCGTGGGAATCTGTGCAAGTAGCCTCACAGTTGCATGCAAAAGATGTAAGTTTAATTCCTAAGGAGAGAAGTTTTTTAATTGAGTCTCCAGTTGTCTGCTTTGATGTTGTACTCCACTGTGTCTGGGATGGTTCTGACATGTTGGATTGAAATAACTTGTCTCTTTTTTGTTTTTAATTGTGTTAATGGAGACCAAAATCGTTCACTGTTACAGTCGAACCTACCTTAACGAAAACCTGTATGAAAGAGAAACCTCTCTTAACAGAATCTCCCCGCTCCCTCCTTGATATACTCCTCTTTAATTACCTGTATAAAACCGGAAACCTGTCCAACGCGGAAACGGAAAGAAAAATCCGCACCCTTCCAAGGATTTTACCTATCTAAGACGGAAAATGCTTTGCCCGTTCAGTCCTGATTTGAAACAAAACTCGCAAGTTTGGTTCCGTCCGCCGGCTCTAAACTTAACGCTATGCTGCCGGGCGAGGAAGGGGAGTATGGGTGCATTTTGAGGGTAGATGTTACCCCATCTATGAGCCTTGAGCGATGAAGATGGTCAGGGTGGTGTAGGTGTGAAATCTCACGAGTGCCAGTAAAAGTGGCGCTCTAGCACGGAAACTTTCTTTGGTAGCCAGAGGCCAGAGGTGTGAAATTAGTTTGACCAATGCCTGCTGCCCTGATCATACAACCAGCGAAGAAAAGAGTTCCTCAAATCGTTGTTATGGCAGTGAGGGGTGGCATTGGTTGACTGTGCTTATTACACTGATGGGTGGAGCTAAGGGTGAAAGCAAAGAAGATGTTCAAATGTTTCTGTTTTTAGTAGGTCAAACAGTGGTCCTATGAAATGCAAGCACTTGTGGTAATTGGATAAATAAGAATGATGCATGTCATTATCAGAGAGGATAGCAGTGCCGACTGGACAAGCGACCCTTGATCCCACCAGCTGAGCCTTTGAAACACACCCCCCCCCCTACTATCTCCCCACTAAATTCCCCTGTCTAAGACGTAATTTTTTTCTGGCTCCCTTGCGATTCCGTCTTACACAGGTTCAACTGTATTTAGTAAATTGTTTTTTCAAAATAATTTCAGCAGGAATTTGATCACCGTAAATTTTTTGTATGGTATTCAGGAAATATTTTTTGTTTTAAGTGTAGCCTGCTGAGAAGCTTTACTAGTCTGTTAAGTTTCTTTTAAAATGGCTTTGTGCTTGGATTTGGCCAATGGACGTTATGTTTGTTTGAAATTTTTTCTGTCAACTGCTCTCAGATTCATTTGTACCAGTATGGAAAATTTGATCTATTTTTCAGTGGTTTGCATTTATTTAGGCTTGGGTTTTTGTAGATTTCCTTCAACTTATACTTTGTTGAACTTCCCAATGAGGATGAAACTTGTCTAATGTAATTTTGTTTGTCTCGTCCTTTTTTTTCCCCAACTTATCATTCCTCAGATATAAATGAATTTGATAGCAGCTAATGCATTGGATGGAAAAATGCAAAACAGATACAATAAAGTTACAGTAATCAAACCCCCTCCCCTCAATTCTTTTTTTCCGTACTATCCTTTCTCTCAAGTCTTATCCTGTGTTGGTTTATATCATCCAAAGTTTTCATCTTTTGTTTTCCCACGGGTTTTATCTTATTTCATCTTGTCTTCTCATTTATTTTCTCTCCTCTTTGATTTGTCTGTTTTCCGTTCTCAAGGTTTATCTCACCTTTGTTTTTTCTCATTGTTTTTAATCTCACCTTTGCTTTACCTAATCTTTTTTCCTAAGTTTTAAATCATCTTTACTTTATTTTTATATGATTGCTGTTCCCAGGTCTGGGCCAGTGTGCGGAGCTGGTATGGCAGTTGCGAGGAGAGGCAGACAAAAGACAGGTGGAGGGTGCTAAGGTCGCCATGCAACACAACTTTGGCATTGGGGGAGCTGCTGTTGTCACCATGTATGGAAAAGCCGATCAAAAGTTGCTCTCCAGGATTTGAAGCTCAGAATAGTTTATGTTGATAAAAAAAGGGGGGGGGGGGAACAAAGGTAGGGGATCAGAATTCCTGGTTTGATTAAGCCACGGATTTGATGATGATAATGATCAGTTTGGTTAGATCTGTAGAATTGATAACGATAGAGATGAGTTTTGTTAGATCAGAAGATTTGATGATGATAATGATAATCACGAAGATTAGTAACAAAAAATTACATTACTGGCCAGACAGCTTGATGGGGAAGCAATACTTTATTCTTACCTGTTTCCTGTAAATATTGCTGCTGGTGCCATTGATATCTACTCTAGTAATTGTATGCATTTAACAGAAAGTATTTAAAAATTATTTCACTGTTTTGTAATTTTCTTTTATCTGATTCCTTGAGGGGTTTTTTATGTTTTGGCATTAATATCAGAAGTTGATTATGCGAAAAATTAAGGTCCGATATTTCATTATTAACTTTTATAAAACTTGTTTTAACCTTGCTACTTACTGAACGACTTCATTCATGATTCCGTTAGATTCAAGGATTTGATTTGAGTACAACTGTTTTTTGACTAGGAACTAATAGTCAGTTTGTGACTTGGGTAATGACTTGTTTGAATGCCAGTATAATTTATCTTGTTAATAGTGAAATATGTAACATAACTTGCTACCTCTTATATAATGGAACCTAAGTCTAAGTGTAAATCTGTTACTACTTTCTATGAGGTTTTTTTAAAATACAAATGCAGCAGACAGCTATAGTCTCAGTCCCAACAGTGGAGTATGCATAAAGCAGACATGTTTAATCCGATTACAGCAGTAAACTGAAAGAAAATGAAATCCCATATCTTTTTCCTTCTATTTGAGCAACCTCTCGAAACCATTAACCCGGCTAAATCAAAGAAAGATCCTCAAGATTTCATTTTAAGCGGACTTCATTGTATCTGGTTCTGAGTAATTAGTAATAGGTAAGATCAAGTAATTGAATTTTTTAAACTTCAACTGACTATTGTATAAGCACTTATCAATGCATGAGAAAGAAAGTTGTTCAAAGCAAAAATGAAATGGAAATTTATATTTGTGTGGTCATTTTTTTAAAATGATTTTTCTTTGTCTGACAATATTGTTTTATCGAGTTACAAAATGGTTCTGAGGTGAGCTTATGGATTCAGAAATGCTTTTATTTTGTGTGTTCCTGAAGAGTTTTTACATTCACAGAGCAGGGAAGAAGCAAAGCAGGAATCGTGGATGTTAATGTCTGTGATCTAATATATCCAAGCATTCACTTTTTTGTTGTTTTGTATCGTATAAAGATTGTATTTTATGTTACCTGTTTCGCTGTACCTCAGTTTGTATTCATATTTTCTATTTACTTAATGATCGGATGAAATGGTAAGGTTTGAGAGAAGGTTGGTTATTGACTCCTCGTGCCTATTATTACAGTAACTTTTCATGGGAATCATGAAACTTATAATCTGACTTTTGGAGCTTGTTGTATTTTTTGTTTCTTCCATGACTTTTTTTAGCTTTGTACAGTGGCTTCGACTGTGCAACGGAATGAGAAAAGCATGGTTGTGAAAATGTATGCATGTAGTCAGGTTTGATTTTTGTGTAAGTTGAAATGTGTGTGCTCGTTCTTGTTGATTTGTGGGTGTGTGAAAATGAGTGACTACTCTTAAATTGATGTGTGACTTTTCCATTTTTAAGAGTAGTTTTGTGTGTATTTATTGTTGACTGATCTTTGCTGCAGTCCTGTTGTTGCTGCAGTTGCCTTCTTAGGTTTTGCTATTCCCAGTATCAGACTAACTAGTCATGACCAGAAATATCTCAACATGTTGTTGTGAGTCTTGAATTTTACGTACATTAAAGTTGAATTTTTTTTGTATATTTGACTTTGTTTCATTTTGTATGTTGAATGTTTTTTGAAGGAGCTGTAGGGTTTGCTTGCTTAATCAACTAGTCTTTGACATCTGTTGTTGTTTGCTGGTTCCAAAAACTATGAAGACTCAGTGTTCTTAATGAACTTAATGCTCTTAGAACCGAGATTTCTCAACCCAGTGAGAGTGCACTGTTTTAAAAGTCAGTGCCCACTTTACTTAGCATATGGCTGAAAGCCAAGGATCCCTACCACTGGTTAAGTACAGTTTGCTCTTGAGAAAAGGGTTGCTTGAAGGGCATCACTAATATGACCTATTTCTTTACTTTTCCTCTGTTATTTGCGTCTGCCTTCTTTTTGCAAGAATTAGATGGCATCTGTCTTGTCAATTTAGTTTCTTACTTTAACTCAGCTATCGTATGTTTTCAATATTTATGTTTTCAACCAGTGGACCTACTTTCTGTTTTTTCCTATTCTATTCCCTCCAGGGTTTACATGATCCCGTTGTTGAACTTGACCTACATGCAAAAGTTTAAGGTTGTAGCCTCCCTAAATGTTTTTCCCCACCTCTCTTTAACAGTTTCCCTCAGCTTTGTGCTATAACAAGAGGCCACCATTGCTCTGCCTTTGAAGTGCTCCAAACCTTACATGAAGTAATGATTCTGCTATGCTCTACAGATACTGTTATCATTCCTATGTTTCATCTCAACCAATTTCAGAACTCATTTACTCAGATGAATTGTGGGAATTTGACTGAGGTTAAACCTTAGTATTTTGAGTTATCTTTTTATTTTTTCCCCTGGTCTGTGGTCTTTGTCGCTTCTTATGGTTCAGAATATCCTGTATTAGAGATAATAGGAAAAAACAGCCTTTCTTTAAATGATTTGGTGTTGTCACAAACACGGACTAGAGAGCTATATGTTTATCTATATATAGGTCTAACAGACAAGACTGGTTTTGAATGTGGTCGAACACCAATAGACACAGTGGAACAGGAACATATTATTAAGTACATGTATGCTTCATGGGTAAAGGGATGATTCATGAAAAAGTCATCAAACCCGTGGCGTCGGTAGTCCAGCGGTTAGATTACCGGACTTGTAATAATGTGGTTGCAAGCTCGAGGGTTTGAGCGTCAGGCCCGACTTTGTGTCATTGGACAAGGTACTTTACATGAATTTCCTCATGTCACCCAGGTGGGAATGGGTAGGCCTACCCTGCTAAAGACAGCGAACGATCTTGTCAGTATGTTAGTGTTTTAGGGCCTATAACTGGCAGCTTGAACTGGTTGCTTCCCAGGAAGTTGAGATTGTTTCAGAATGCTATCAGGTCTGCTGGAGTAATAGTATGGATTGTAATGCACTTAGAGCTCCCTGTTGAGCGGGAAGTTGCACCTTACAAATGCTATCTATCTATTATTATTATTATTATTATTATTATTATTATTATTATTATTATTATTATTATTATTATTATTATTATTATCCAGGCTGGGGTGACCATCCCCGACCCGGCGGGTCCCAGATGGCGGATAAGGAACAGCCACTGTAATGAAGGTTAGCTGTGAATGTTGAATAAGCAGCCCATGACCTACTGGCGATGCTCTTATACCAGGACGGGGTGAGGTGGTAGGTGGCACTACCACGTCATTAAATGCCCTAGGAGTCCGCTGACGGGGAGCACCATGCGGAAAAAGATTGCATTAAGTCCTGGCTACGGGTGGGATCCGGTAACAATTCCTCGATCCCTGTGCTCCCAGGCAATTTCCTAGGACCTGGAGATGGAGTGCTAAAATCGGAGGCATTGGGCCGAACGGCGCACTCTAGAGAACCACAATTCCACGTAATACTGCAAAAATGATACTTGAAGCAGATAACTTTAGATATGGTGCTCGCCCTGTGCAGTGCCAGGCCCCAAGCCTCGAAGGGATCCACCCCAGCGACTGGAGGGCCTTCCAAAAATCCATCGTTCTGGAGTGCCAGGAGAAGAGGAAGAAAAGTGACTGGTAACACAAACACAAAACAGGTGGTAAAAAATCTTAATATCATGCCCTGGAATGCCCAAGGAATCCCAAACAAGAAAACAGAGCCGGAAAACTTTCAAAAAGATAACGAAATACACATCAGCTGTATACAGGAAACACACCTGCCAGAGGAGGCAAGCTTTAAGGTGAAAGGATATCAGTGCTTCAGAACCGATCGCAGAGGTAGAAAGAAAGGAGGAGTATTGACCCTGATAAGAAATAACCTAAATACGGTACCTTTGAAATCAAGAAATATACAGGAGAGGCTGAGTATATCCAAAACAGGATCACCACCAGCAAAGGCACTATCTGGATCTAGTGAACTGTTATTGTCCAAATGATAAAAACCTTATGCTAGAAACCATCGAAGTCCCAGACACAGACTTTCTCATCGCTGGAGATTTCAACAGCCAGTCCCAGAGTTGGGGTTATAACAGACTAGCCAGAAGAGAAGAAGAAATAGAAGCCTGGCAAGATGAAAACGATCTGCTTGTGATCACGATCCTTTAGATCAGCCCACATTTTATTCTCGAGCTTGGCATTCAACTACGACTCCAGACAAAGCACTCGGCACAGAAAACTTGCACAGACATCTTAGTAGAAAAGTGGAAACCCAACTTGGGAGAAGTGACCACCGCCCTGTTCTTCTTACCAAAGTAGAGAGCCTGCCAGAGGACAGCCAGAAAAGGCCGAGATGGAACGGCAAAAAGGCAGACTGGAGACGTTTCAGCATAAGAACTGATAATGAGCTGACAAAGAACATCGCAGTCTTCAACAAAAATATAAACAATGCCATCACAGAGTTCAATGAAATCATCCTTTAGTCAGCCAAAGAAACCATACCTAGAAGTATAAGGGAAAATTACACCCCATACTGAACTCCAGAAAACACATAACGGCCTCATCAAGGCCAGAGAAGAAGCCGAATCACACCCAGGGATAGAAAACAACAAGCTACAGAGGTGTAAAGCCCGCTATCTCAAAACCAAGTTGGAGTGCACCAGGAAAAGCTGGAGGGACAAAACACACAAATTAAACTCGGAAAAGGACGCCACAAAACTATTGAGGCTTGTGGGCTAAACGACGAAGGAAATAAAAGTGCCAAGATCACTCTAGAAGTTGAAGGAGAGATGGGAATGGAGAAAAGGGCAGCACATACCTTTGTAAAGGCATTATATGCTCAAGAAAGCAACATAAAAATACCAAGAGAGAGAGAGAGAGAGAGAGAGAGAGAAGTCAGACAAGAGGAAGGAAAAGAAATACAAAAACCATCCAGGAAGCAATGAAAAAGGACATCACCATGGAAGAGCTGAAGAAAGCAATAAATCAACTAAAGCAAAGAAAATCACCAGGCCCCGATGAAATTACAAACGAAATGTTACATCACCTGGGCAACACAGCCTTACAGACTATACTGGATATTTTCAACTTAAGCTGGAAAAATGGGCAAGTACCCCAGTGCTGGAAAGAAGCAACGATGATCCTGATCCTCAAGCCAGTGAAAAGTAAGGCACGACCATTAAGCTATAGACCTATCAGCCTCACAAGCTGTGTATAATGTAAGACATAATGTAGCTTGTAGAATGCAGAAGTACCTAGAGGCACAACGCATCCTAGTACCAGAACAAGTTGGATTATGTCAGTTCAGGAGCACAGAGGACCAAACAACTTACTTGTCTCAAGTTATAGAGGACTCCTTCCGGGCACAGAAAGTGATGCTAGCAACATTTATTGGTCTACAAAAAGCGTTTGACAAGGTTTGAAAGGAGGGTTTAATAGTCAAGCTCCTCAGAAGTGGTATCCAAGGCAACATGTACCAATGGACCAGATCCTATCTACACAACCAAAGAGCATGCGTGCTTGTGGATGGATATCAAGGGCGGAAAATGCTGCTGCGACAAGGAGTACTCCAAGGTGGAGTCATGCCACCTTTGCTCTTTGTCCTCTTCATCAATGACCTCATGAAAGAACTACCCAAAGGAATACAAGGCGCATTGTATGAAGACGACCTGGTGGTGCTCTGAGGAATTCGTCACCACTGCCACATATAACATGCAATCACTGGACAAACTCACTACATGGACAAAAACCTGGTGGGTAATCGTAAACAAAGAAAAGTCTTCTGCTACACTCTTCACTCTCAACCAGGCTGAGCTTAACATCATGAGAAAACTTGCAGGGACTCAGTGGGGGAGCAAATGAGAAAACAATTAGACAGGTCTATCTGTGGCCAATCAGGCCCCATCTGGAGTACGGATCCATTGCATGGATGACTGCAGCACAGACTCACAAATATACTCTGGAAAACGTGCAAAATTAACCAGGCTCTCCAAATAATCTCTGGAGCAATGAGGTCAACGCCAGTAGAAAAGATGGAACAAACAACATCTATAGTGGCCCATCTATAGTGCCAGGTGGTTTCCGCGTAGACTTTGCTAACTTTGAGGGCACTGATTACGAAAATATGACATTAGAATTTTAATCCAAACTCAAAATTAGATTTTTTTTTTTTTAAGCTCCGGCGGGGCCTATGGCTCGTGAGTCACGACCCGGCCCGGCTAAAATTGAGCAGGCGGCTTTCCAACCGCCAAGTCTTTTGTCGTGGCACGCGTCGTGTCTGTTGACTCAGCCAAACGGACTTTTCATTGGTTTCTTAGAAAATAGACGGCGCTCCATTTCAACTACCGACTTTCCGAGAGGCGGACGGAATCGGGTCGGTTGGTGTCCGGTGCAGTGGACACGGGCCCCTATTTACCTAAAACGTTCTTTATAAAAATTAAGTGAACTTTTGACTCATTTTGTTTGTTTCATTGCCTTATTTATCAAGATAAAATTGTTATTTGCAAATAAGTTCTGTGCACACAAGCTCTATAATATGCATTTTAAATCCCACAAAACACAAAGTATTTCTATTTATTAATCCAAGTCAAATTGCATGATGACACACAATTTTCGTAAAACGCTTACTTTCTTTATTGTACTATCATTGTTAATATTCATTGTATTTAATTTTAATTCAATATTATGGGTTTGTATGCTGATCAAACTATTCGTACAATAATGATTGTCTCAAGGCCAATTCAATATTGTGTCGAATGGTAAATTGATATAAAGCTATTTAAATTCTGCGAGCCCTTTGCATTTTGTTGAAAGAGAAAAAAAAAAAGAAGCTGTTTTTCACGGATAATAATGAAATTGAAATATCGAATTTCGCGAAACGAAGGATACGATACAGGGGAGCAAACCCAAGGCGTTTTTTAATAAGCTTGCCAGTTTGTCTACTTTGAATTGTTTAGTTTCAATAAAGGAATTTATAATATCATTCGTTTTGTTATTTTTATTGGCTTTGTATCTCCTTTAACATACTCTTCACATAAAACATACTCTTTATAGAGTAGTTTCCAAAAGATTCTGGTTACATTTTGAGGTTCTGGCCTAAATAAATGGACTCGCAGAAAGTTTGACAACATGGGTACAGTTGTTTGATTCTAAATCTGGTATACATCGTTCTCAAAATGGCGGAGAAAACGAAAGCGAAACGAGCGATTCCTGATGAAGATCCAGCGGAGAAAAACTCCCCGGAAGACGACGACAGTGAAGATGACTGTATTGGACCAAGTCTCAGCGAAGCAGTAAAACCAAAGAAGCGCAAAGGTTTTGATATTTTAATTCTGCTAAGACGTTTTAAGAAAGTGTAGCTTTTATAGTGTGGTAAAGTGAGGCTTACGTTGGAGTTGGACCGGGCACCGTCAGCCATCATCATTTCATCAGTTTTTTCCCCAGTTTTTTTCGGTTATGGTAGGCCTAAATTTTGGGCTCTGCGTCTTTGGTATTCTTCGCTTTTGGCCCCAAGAGATCTACTGGATATCAATACTGACTTAGCCTTTATATGTGGCTAATTCGGTATCGATGTTTGGCGCTCTTTCTGACATGCCGTTAAACGTAGAAGACGCATCTTTCTGAGTGGCTGCTAATTTTAGTAATGTGATGTCATCTGGGATACCTACAGACTATTTTATGAAGGCCGTGGAGGTAACGCATAGAATCATACGTGTTTCCAGTATGTTAATAACATTTCGGAATTCCAGTATTGACACTGCACGAATGTCAACAATTTCCTTCCTTGAGACATTGACGGGTTTGGGCATCCTAATTTTCCGGTTCACTGCGTCTATTGAATTAATTCTTTGAACGTTTCCTCTAGATCTACCGTAAAAAGAGACTATTCATCATCGGAGCACCGTATCATATCACGTTTGCGCGATTCCTGGAAAAACATCGCACCAAAGCGTCATGCCATCCCGTTGGCTATATTTGATATAGTCACATGATTGGAGGGGTATTTCGGTCTGACGTCACACAAAATCGCCGCCTTACCTAAAAATAGTTTGCGTCCTTCTACGTTTAATCGCATGTCTCTTAAGGTAGCTCCCGCCCCCTTTATTTTAGCCTATTTTATTGGAAATTTCCAAAATTGAGCTTGAATTTGCTTCAATTTGTTCTCTACTAATTTCATTGGACGAGCATTTAGTCTAGAGCTACGGTACCAACTTGGGGGGCGCGCTCATATGACCTTAGCAGTTGCGAGCGCCGTAAAACCTTATACTACTACTACTACAACTTGGGGTGTTTTCAATGAGACGTAGGCCTAGATCTAGGCTAGCCTTAGCCTACACTTCGGTGTAGAACCAACACAGGCAATTCTAGAAGTAGAAGGTCACAAACGCACACAAACTCCAACAGAAATTCATTTTATATCAAGGAACATAAATCCGAGGGACGGGGGTCAGGAAAAGACACACACACACACACACAGAGGGACGGAGAGGTGAATGCACAACACTGAGCACTCGAGCACAATAGGCTAGGTCTACTCACCAACGCGAAAGAGCTCCAATTTACTCAGTGGCAATTGACGCTGCTGTCAATTTTTGTCAATTGCCACTGCGTCACTCTGTGGCAATTGACGCTACCTTCAATGTAACCACGATTTGATGTTTTGCAATTACATTGTAGGTTTGATATCCCTTGCTCGCCGTGCATCAAACATCATATTGGCACTCGCATTGAAAAGTAATTACCAGAAGTAATCGATGGTGGAGCCAAAACCCTTACTCCATTGTTATCGTTGGGGCCAAAACTGGATTATCCCGCATCTTTGCTCTTAGAGATTAGAGTAGTGTGCCACAACACTTGAATAGTTTTATCAAGGCTAGGAGGGCTTGAGTATTATTAAACTTTCACACCCTTCTCATGTTCAGATATTGTAGACCAACTTGTACAGAGCACTTTTCTATGACATGTGTCACGACGCGGAGGAATAAGGCATTGGTCAACATTTGGGACATGTAATGGAGTTATTGGTATCATTTTAAATCTTGTTCATTTGTCTTGCTTTCGAAGAAAAATTTACCCAATCTTCAATGGAAGTCGAGATATGTCAAATTGAAGCAGGTGAGGTCATTTTGTTTCAAAAGTAAAATTAAAGAGAATATGGCCACCAAAGTTTGGCGACTTCCAAAGTTTGAGAGTCATTGGAACCTGTAAATTTACATTTTTGTAGCTTTAATCAACAATTTTCAGTAAAAGCCACGCAGCAATGTGTTTTTAAATGTCCAGACATAAAAGGTGCTAACAAAGAATGAAAATTCCATTAAAATCGCCAAATGGGAAGAAAAATGTTGTTTTCTTCTATTTCATTATTTTGATGAGCGCCTGATTTCACCACAATGTCTCACATATAACATGTGTCACAACATGGTGAAATCAGGTACTCATAAATTTTTTGGCATATGGGGTTATGGTATCATATTAAAGCCTATATATTTGCCTTCCTTTGGGGGAAAAAAATATTCATATAATTTTCATAGAAGTCAAAATATTTGTGATTGAAAGGGGTCAGGGTTGCCTGGATTCAGAGGTAAAATTTGCGAGAAAACGGCTGCCAAAGTTAAACGGTGATGAGTTGATTTTTAGAATTCAACTCTTGACTACTCGTCGCCTCAGAACTATTTTATCCAAAGTGTACTTAATTAAAGAAGAGGCATTTTGGACAAAATAGTTCTGAGGCGACGTATTGTATACCAGGTTGGTTTTTTTTTTTGCTTGTGACTTGAATTTACGAATCATGTCTCAAGTGGAGATGAAAGCAGGTGACAATAGGACTAGAGAACCAGCAAGGAGAACATTTTAGAGAACAAATTTTTCATTTCTGTCAAGTTTTGAACTCGGGACCTATTGAATGAGAGGCAAACACCGTACCTTTAGACCACAAGAGTCCTCCCTTGAGGGTTCTATTTTATGAAATTGAAATTGAATAGGTTGAAACGGATGAATATCAAAGCACATCATGAATGCAGTCTCTTTCACATTACCAGACAAAAGTATGTATTTTATGTTTTAGAGACATTCTACTCTTTAAATGCCTTGACCCTTCTTCTTGTTTATATATCCACACTACACACTCCTCACTAGTCACTGTTTCAGAGTAAAACACTTTGTTTTGCTCTGCCAACTCTGGTCATTGTGCTTGCAGTCACTGAAGACTGATCATAACTACCCTAACCCCAACTAATAAATTCCGTCCCAAGTATCTAAGACCAGCCATAACATGAAGACTGGGTACATCTTCACTGAACTCACCATATATAAATCCGGACCTTGTAAATTTTCTTTACAATGTTTCATTTAGGTTTGAATTGTATTCCCCTATGTCCTTTTAGGTACGCATCAGAATACCATTGAGTTACAATCAGAATACTGAGTATGTATCTTCGGTAACACTATTAAAGTATAATTACTGTTCATTTATATTTAACTATTGTATTATTATGGTTATGAGAGTGTGTTTGCGTATATATGGATGTGCACATGTGCCTGCGTATGCGTGTGTGTGTGGTGTGTGTGCGTGCGTGGTGAAACACCAAACCAATATGCCAGGATCTGGACAGTTAAGATGTATCTTATCTTATCTTATCTTATTCTTTTCTTACTCCTCAGTATTGGCTTTTGAGAAAGTCTACCTGGAAGGTTTACCAAGTGCAGAATATTATGAGAAAAGCTACATGCACAGGGACATTGTCTCTCATGTTGCTGTCAGCAAGTAAGTCAATTTTTTAAAAATATGTTACCAGTTGGGTAGTTCTCAAGAATTTCAAACTGTTCATGGTTTTTTAGTTCAGTTTATCTGATTTTTTAAAGTGATAATGATAATGTTAGTTGCTTTTTTTTGCGTTTTATTGTGATTATTTCCTTTCACTGGTTGAATGTTCTTTCGTAGGCTTATTTTGTAAATGTTTTGTAACCCAAATGTTATTTAATTCAGTGTTGCTTTCTTTTTTCACCTAAGTGGTCTCATCAATGTATATTGGATATGGATTTAATAAGTAAATCATAACAAATGAATTATTGTCATATGAATGGAGCCACTTAACTATCTGGTTTGTTCTGAAAGTGGATGTTTGGAAAGTGGCCTTATATTCTTTATTCTTCCTCTTTTGCTTCTAGAACTGTTTATCAGTCTTGCTTTTTCTTACTGCTAAATGACTGTTTTGTGTTGATATGCATCTTTTTAACTCAAATAAACAAACAAATAAACAGTCATCGTTTCTTTGCTAATTGAGTTCTTTGTACGAACCCCAGATCTGGGTTTATCATTACTGCCAGCGCTGATGGGCATGTCAAGTTCTGGAAGAAATGTGAGGAGGAAGGTATTGAGTTCGTCAAGCATTTCAGGAGTCACTTAGGTATGGAATCAGAAGACGATTAATCTATTCAATTGAGATTTATTCCATTGAGAGTATATTTGGATGTGTGCAAAAGTAACAATTTGGCATGAAAAACTGGAGTCTGTCTATTTTAAAGTTTCCTGTCATGATTTAGTAAGCTCCAGTCATTACTGTGAATTGCCGAAATATAATATGCCGTGGGTGTTGGATTTTGTTATGAGCTTCTAATTTTTGTGAAAATGGCTTTATTTTCAAAGGAGTGACATTTTGAGGAAAAAATTATTTTGATTAGTCAGATTCTTGACATTTGCAAAACTTTAGAAAAGCTTGTTCTACTGTATCTGTATAGATAGAAAATGAATCTACACCGACGGTCTTTTTCCTGTGCATACAAGAGTGAGCAATGGACTTCATGATACATCATGCTTGTAAGTCAATCGTCATTTTATGTCCCTCTGTTGGCAGGTGTCATCGAAGACTTGGCCATGTCCCCAAACGGGGAACTCTGTGCAACAGTGTCCGCGGACAAAAACGCAAAAGTCTTTGATGTTGTCAATTTTGGTAAGCAGAGTGTTCTGGTCACTTTATTTATTTAACCCAAACTTTGTGACTGATGAGAGCACGTTTTAAGAATATTGTGAAAGGTCTTTAAAATATTTTTTATCATGAACATGCAAAAAAAACAACCTTTTTGTCAATTGACAAAAATATGGGAAATGATAGTGATGTGGAAGTCGGCCTTGTCAGTGTTGGAGTACACTTGATGGTGATTTTTTTGCTCCCTGATTGAGCTAGATTGTACTTACTATTGATCTTGCATCACTTTTTATTTTCAATTGTGTGATATATTAATTGTAGTTGATTTACCATCAACTCGTGATGTATTGGGATGTAAGAAGAAAAGAAAGGTTGACGTTTGCTTTCTCACGTTCTCGTCCTGAAGTTATGTTTGTTTTACCGGCAGTTATGATTCTGTTAGCAGTAAAGTTTTTGTTTTATCAACTTTTATTTAAGTAAGAAAGAGTAAAGATGAATGTGTAACAGTTTATCTGGTTTTGTTTATTGTGCACATATAGTTTTGGAAAATGTGTAGTAAAAATTATGACTGTAGTTACTATGTCATCACATTTATTTTATGTGGTTACTGAAAGGGTTTAATATTTTTTGTGTTTGCTTTTTTTATGCAGATATGATCTACATGTTGAAACTTGTGCTACTAAAGTCTCCAAATAAAGTAAAGTTTAATAAAAATTATTGTTTACTTACTTTGTCATCCCATAGTTTTTATCCTTTGCGTTTGCTTCTTTTTTTTTTTCTGCAGATATGATCAACATGCTGAAACTGGGGTTTTCTCCCGGCTGTGCTGGTTGGCTGTTCAAGGGAGGAGACCCTATCTCTTCTCTGGCCATGTGAGCTTGACTCTTTTTCTTTCTTTAAAAAATGTATTTGGAACTGCCGTGTTTTGAAATGGATGTAAATCGGAAGAGGGCGAGTGTTGTTTCGAAAAAGTGAAAAACTGCAAAAAATATTGATTAATTGGTTAAACTTCTGTATGCTGTTGAAAAAAAAGTGAATCCCAGCGAACTGAACTCATTAGGGCCAGCACATTATGTGGCAAAACATTTTAAAGCAGTGGAGATTGAAGATAGGACCAGTGATCTAGGGGGAGGGGGGTACTGGAAATCCAAATATTGGAGAAAGCATAATTTTTCAGTAAGCCCCTCACTTTGTATCTATTGTTCAATAAAAATATTAACATCCATATTATATTACCTTTTTCTAATCCCAATACACTTCACATATTCTTTGTTTTGTTCTGGAGTTTCATTTCCTTCCTTTTTGGAGCTGATATATAGTAAACAGTGTGAAGTTTCCAGCATATAAAATGCTACATTTGCTTTCAGCTGTGAGAAAGAGACGCCCACTGTGCACATCTATGATGGCAGAGGGACAAGCACGGCACTGAAAGTTCTGGAAAAACTTCATGTTGCTCCAGTTGTTTTCATCAAGGTGTGTATTTCGGGATTTGAGGTAGTGAAACTTGCATCTATTATGTAGTTGTTAGTTTCTTCTGTCATCGTTTTGCAGAAGACGTGATTGCGAATCCGGAACAGTGCATGGTTGACAGGTGCTCTATGTGGTTTCCTCCTCCTTTCCTATCAAACATCTGTCCTCCTCATCTCTCCTCCTTCTTTTTTGTGTCTGTTACTCTCTCGTAACACTTCTAACCTTCGGCACTTATACGGCCTAATTTTGTTGCAAGTGCTGTTAAACTCATACGAAAACTAAAACATAATCCCAACTAGGAAAGTCTTTCTCATCAAGTACCTCCGTCTGTCTGTTGGGATGCTTTATCCCACTCAGCCTGAGTCGGCCCCGAGTGACATTGGGGAACCAACTTGCCTTCTACACATGGGCGAAGGTTCGCCACCATATGCTAGCCCTTCCGGTTTTTTAACCACGACAGACCTAGGTCCTCCAGTTTTTTAGACTGGGACTGGCATGTACGCGTGTAAAAACCAGCGACTACACAACATGCAAAACGATGGTCCTTAAGCAGGACAGTAGTCCTGAAAAAGCCCCCATTCACTCTTTGGAGATAAACCACCTGTACTATTAACCCTTAGACCTGCCCTGAGGCTGATAGCACTCAAGAAGAAATGAACAGCTGCCTTATTTTCAAGTGCAGGGTAGGCCCATTAATATGTTAAAACTTTTGTGTGTGTGTGTGTGTGTGTGTGTTTTTTTGTCTTTGCCATCTTATCTGACTTTTTGTACAATGACTTTCAGGTTTTTGAAAATTCCCACCCTACTTCTTGAGGTTGTTTTATGTCTTTGAACTTTCACCCATGCTCCTACATTTTCTGTTCTGTGTTGGTGGTGATGTAAAACACTTACAATTTCATTTGGATTACAATTGCTGTTAAAATGTTTACTAAAACTACCTCTATTTTTGTTTCTCCCCCCCCCCCCCCCCCAGTATAATCCTCAGCTGGAGCTGGTGGTGTCTGCTGATTCCAAGAGTATGATAGAGTACTGGACAGGGCCCAAACACGACTACGCCTTTCCCCGGAATGTCCAGTGGGAATACAAGACAGACACAGACCTCTTTGACTTTGTTAAGGTATGCAAGGTTCCTGCTCAACTTGGAAAACAGAAAAAAAGCCAGTAATTTCATTTTCAGTTTTCTCGGTCAGGAAAACAGTGAAAACAGGGGGGGGGGGGGGGGGGGAGAATTTTCTAGTAAAAAGCCAGGAAATAAGATCGGATGATTTTAAAATAATTTATCGCCTGAAATTTTCTACCACTGGCAAGTATAACTTTGGTCTATTCCTTCTATTGCTCCTGTCTGTCTGTCTGTCTGTCTGTCTGTCTGTCTGTCTGTCTGTCTGTCTGTCTGTCTTTTCCCTGCTCTAAATGACTATAAATGTGTCAGTGTGCTTCTCTTTACTCCAACAAACACTAACCAGACCAGACCATCAATGATTTATTTATAGAGGCACCAGCCATCCATGAACAAACACTAACATCAAACATTTTGTGGTCAATTTCTTTCAGCACAAGTGTCAGCCAGTGGACCTCGCTTTTTCCCCTAACGGTCAGCTCATGGCTACAGTGGCCACAGATAGAAAGGTAAGTGTGTGTGTGTTTGTGTGTGAGAGAGAGAGGGAGAGTGAGAGACGGCCATCTATGTTTATGTGTATGTGTATGAGTGTTGTGTATTTTTTTGTATGTGAGTGTTGTGTGTATGGGTTTTTTTTTCCTTGCTAGAAGGTCAACAGAACCCCTTTGTTTTGTTTTTTAAAATATTATAATGACACTGTCCAAGACAATCACCAGTTTAGGAATCAGTTTTCTCCTGACCAATGGGTGGCTGTCGTGGACAGTTTTGACCGTACATTCTTTGCATGTTTTGATGTAACGGTCTCCTCTTTCATCACCTGATTGTGTTGCGGTTTTATTTTCTGTGGCAGATTCGGCTGTTCAAGGTCAGGTCAGGAAAACTGTGGAAGGTTTTGGATGAAAGTGTCCAGCGGTTCACAGAGCTGCAACAGGTTTGTTTACAGTTTACTGTTTACCAAAACTTTTCTTAGTGGATGGTTGGCGGATTCTCTGGTGTGGTTTGCTCCTTCTTTCCTGTCAAACATCTATTGTCCTTATCTCTCCCCCTTCTTTCCTTTGTATGTTGCTCTCAAGTAACATCTCTAATCCTTTGCTCTTGTATGACCTATTTGTGTTTTAGAATGTGTCTGTTTGAACCATGGAAAATGCTTCATAAAATGACTTTTAGATACAGTAAAGCTTGTACTTGTATCCTTAGAACATTAAAATGAAGTAGGGAATTGCGAGATAGTTTTTATAATAACATTTATGTTTTTCTGTCTCCCTTTGACATGGTCTTACCTGAAGGTCCTTCGTATTTCAGAAAAAGCAACAGATTGCTAACATGGAGTTCAGTCGCCGCCTAGCCGTGGAGAAAGATCTAGAAAGGTCACCAAGTTTCCACACAAGTAACGTGGGTGAGTATTGGCATGTGTCCATTTTTTAATGTTTTCTTTTCTTGTTCATTCATTGATGGGCAATTTATTCCTCAGTTCTTGCCAGAAATTCAAAACGAAGGAGTTCGCTTTTTCTTTCTTTTTCTTTTTTAAAATATACTTTTGTTCATTGCTTTTGAGGGATTTTCCCCTGTTCGTTTTCCTATTCAAAATGCAAACATTTTCTTCTCTGTTGTGAATAATCACCTTTAGAAAATTTGACAAAGTTTTTTTCTCCATTTTTTTCTTTTCCTTATCCATTGGTCTTTTGGGGAATACAAACTTTGTCTATTGAACATTTCTTGACTTGTTTCCTCAATTTTGGAGGGTTTTTGACTGAAATTAAAATTAAACGTTAATGCCACTGGGGCCAAAATCACACAACTCCCTCTCAAGTCTAGACAGAGAGGAAAGCTGACGCACCCACCATTCCATTGTGTATTTTCTAAATTCAGTGCAGAATAACTGACACACTGTGATGAATATAGCTGCAGTCATAATACAGCACAAGAATTGTGAACTAAGAAATGGCAGGAGGCTGTGGCAAAAGTAGGTTGTTGAAGCAGAACTTTTACCTCTGTAGCTGGGAAGGTCGTAAATTAACCCTATCTCAGCCAGAGAAAGAGTGAGTAGGAAATCCTCAGATCTGCTGCCAGACTAACGAGGCCAATTTCCGCACCCTCATTAAATTCCCATTTTTTGTTGCAGTTTTTTGTGAAATGCCATGACAAATCCTGCTTATCCCTTGTGTCTGAGCAAGGGTTTTTATGATCCATGACATATTCCAGCTGCTACAGCGCGGGGTTTGGGTAGTATAGGAATTCAGTCAAACTGCTCTAGCAGTCATATCTCCAAGACAATCACCTTTACAAACGAGCACTTCCTACTTACCCTTTGCATCTTCCCACATCATAATGACATTGTCCACAACGGTATAGATTTGGATTTTTTTCCTCCCTCCCAGTGTTTGACGAAAGCGGCTACTTCTTGCTCTACGCTACAATGCTTGGAATCAAAGGTGAGGCTTTTAGGTCTTGCAGTTTGTTTCATTTTCGAAAGACAGGAGCTAGCATGTCCAAGTAGCAAGTCGATTGAGCTATTCCAGATATCTTGCGGGCCAAAGCAGGAGAAAACTGAGGGAATCGGTTGAAATACCTAAGCTCTCAAAAGTGAGACTAGAACTAATATTAAAGCATATTATATAATTCGAGGCCATTTTATGAGATAAGAATATTAAATCTGTTGCTTCCTGCAGAGCCAGAAACTATTGATTTTGATTTTCAAGATGGACAGTTTCTTTTTATTAATTATCAAATCACTGCAGGCCACATTCGTTATTAATTACTACCTCGACTTGCAAGCCAGACTGAAACTACTCACAGGCTGTAGTTTGCCCTTGCCTCATGGTAAAGGCTGTCTTTTCTGTAGCTTGTACAGCTATTTATGAGAAGACTTTAGAAAGGTATTTATTTTTCTTTTACCTCTTTAAATGTAAGTGCCTTCACTTTTTAACAGTTCATGTTCTTCTTCTAGGATCCGTTTTGCTGGAAGAGATTAGATCATTTGTGTGTGCTTTTGTTCTTGGAAAACGAATGTTTTGTTAAAAATTTGTAAAGTAGGGACATAATAGTGCAATCCAAGGAATTGTCTTTTTTTAAACCTGACTCAAGAGTAATAGTATTACTGTGAATTTCATCTTAGTAATACCAAACCCATATTTGAGTGATCAACTTGCACGCAAACTCTATTTTTGCGTACAAATTTTAATGATATACACACAAGCGCATATAACTTACTTACACATTCTCATTCCAGTCATCAATTTACATACCACCTCTCATAACTTACTCACAAATCTTATTACAGTGATCTACTTACAAACTAGCTCTCATAACTTTTTACACACTCAAATCTTCTTCCACTGATCAACTTACACACAAAATCTCATAACTTACACAGAAATTTTATTCTATCGATCAACTTACACACGAACTCTAATAGTATACTCCTAAACTTTCATAACTTACACACAAACACTTATTCCAGTAGTCAACTTACTCACCAACTCTAATAATATACAAATAAACTCTCATGATTTACTCACAAATTTTGTTCCAGTAATCGACTTAAACAAAAAATCGAATAATATACAAAGAAACATTCATATCTTACACTCAAATCTTGTTCCAGTGATCAACTTACACACCAACTCGTGTGCTTGCTGGCTGGGTAAGACTGAGAACACAAGGTTCCTGCAGCTAGCCTTATTCCAAGGGGCGGGGAAAGCGGCCCAAAGAGTGGACGTGGAAATGGCCGCCTCGGACAACCCGGCCCTCAAGAATGTCTTTGTGGACCCTCTCCTGGTGTGCACGGCGTTCAAAAAGCCGCGGTTTTACTTCTTCAGTCGGAGAGAGCCCGATGACTCAAGAAGGTGGGCGTGATTTTACATCGATGACGTCAGGCTCTGATAGGCCATCTCCAAGACTGTCTATTTTACAGGAGAGGCTAAAAAAACTCATTAAATACACTATCCAAGACTACTTCAGCTCAATTTTCGTGTTGTGCTTTTATTCATATCTTTTTGTTGAATTTTTTCCCTATTTATTGAGATTATGTAATTGACCCTGCTCCACTTGTGAAGTACTTAACATACCAAATGTTGAAAATTGGGCTCTAGAAAATTTATGAGTTGGTCCATTTGTACAGGTCACCTTTGATGTATCCATTATAAATCTGTTATTGATTTTTGGAATTCTGGAAGTTCTTGATGTTTCAATCTTTTTAAAAAATCTTCGTCTTACTTCAACTTCATCTGGATCGCTAACAACAACTTCTACTTCATTAACATGTCTTTTGATGCTGTTCAATAAGTCCAATGTTGTTTCAGACTCGATATTCTTTTCTTCACTTTTCACTTTTTTGAAAGGGTTTACTCATGTTCTCTTATACGTTTTCAGTATGGAGAATGAGAGAGATGTGTTCAACGAGAAGCCATCCAAGGAGGAGATAATCGCTGCCACACAGGTGAGCGACTGTTGTTACTAAGTTAGCCTTTTTTGTCTGACTGTCTGTCTAAATGGGAAGGATAAAATATTGAGGAGATAGATGTATTAAAACTATTGAGCTATCTATCTTATGAAGTCACTCGTATGCATGTCCAGTCAAAATTATCAGAGACAGCCACCCATTGTCAAGGAGGAGAGGTTGGAGTGTCATTATGATCCACGGGAAAAAAAAAGGCTCCACTGAAACCGAAAGCTGCCGGACTGCTAGATTTTCTTAAGTCAAGCGGGGTTTTTGGTATAGAGAGGTTGTTCAAATAGAAAAAGATCTGGAGATTTTTTTTTCAGTTTATACTGCCATTGGTTTTGGATAAACGTATTGGGTTCAAGTGGATTCCAGTGTATTGACTTTTATGTTCATCAGAAAACCATGAAGTTGTGACTTACACTTTTGACTGACCAAATGTTTTCTTGTGTTTCCCCAGGACGCAGCCTACCTCAGAGTGTCGGACAGCTGCATCATTCACACCACCATGGGAGATCTTCATTGCAAAATTTTTGCTTCTGAGTAAGTGTAATTTTCTTTCACAGTTTGTACATGTGTGTGTCTCTGGGTACCGGTACATGGTTTTATTGTGTGTATGTAAATCGTGCTTGAATAACTAGTGTATTAGGGTCTGTTGTATAAGCTTTGTGTAGAGTTACATGCAGAAGTCACAAGTTCGATTCACTTGAGCAGAAATTTATTTATCAAGTAACTTTGTCTGCTGGGATGTTATGTCAGTCAGCCTAGGTTGGCCCAGACTAGCAGGTCTGAAGTGGCCCACTTGAATCTTCGATCCAATAGATGTTATTTTTGTTATAGAAGTCCTACTATGTTTAGTTGGTTAAAGCACAGCTGTTAAGCCACAGGTCTTGATCCGCTGTTCTACAGGTGCTCAGTGTTTACCCTTTGGCTTTCCACAGGTGCCCAAAGACAGCAGAGAACTTTTGTGTCCACAGCCGCAACGGTTACTATAACAACCACATTTTCCACCGAGTCATCAAAGGCTTCATGATTCAGACTGGAGATCCTCTGGGTGAGTGGCAGGGGTGAGGGGGGAAATTCGAGGGACAGAGTTTTATTAGTTGAGAGAGGCAGAGAAAAATGAAACACAAATCACGGAGATGATGGCCTTCTGAAAAAACAAATTGTAGTAAACAGTGATAGAACCATTTTGGGTGTTTAAAAAAAGTTCTATTTGAGGAAGGCTGCCTCTAACAAAATACAAAATAAAACAGCTGTCTTACTGAAGAATTTTTTTAAAGCAGGTCATCAGCTCCACTTTATGCGTGTCTCTGCTCAGTCATTTTTCATGGAATAGCCCATCATATCAACTTAACTGACGGACATTCACTACAGTCAGAGCTGGGGAAAAGCAAGACAGACAACAGTGGGAAGGAAAAGAAGAAAGACCTAACACTAACAGGGATACCCTCCAACTAACTACTGTTGAAGGTTCTTTTTTTCTTCCAAAATCACTGATGTCTGTGTTTTTGGTAGGCTCATCTATGTATGCGGAAGATGTGAATTACGTTCTTGTATGTTCAAGCTGTTTCAGAGTACTTAGTCCAGAAAGAAATATTTTTAAAGAGAGAGAAAAAACTGTTTCATTCTTTTAACAATTGTACCTATGTTTTGTATCTTTTCTTGATTTGAAAAAAAATCTTTTTGAATTTGAATTTTTACAAAATATTTCTTTGGCACATGGACCTGGTACCACAGATTAAGAAATTGCAATAAAATCCCCCCCCCCACCCACCTTAAAAAGAAAACAAACCCCAAGTTAGGGGCTTACAGTCTTGCCAAATACTCCATCAAAATCGGAGTCCACCTATGTTTCATTTTGTGCGTCTAAGAATTGATCGAATTTGCATAAAATTTGATCTTTTTCCTGAATTATAAAAAAATTTCTTATGCAAAGCAATTTTGTAATGATATGTGGAGCATCTAAAATGGAGCAAGACCACAAATATCTTCTTCTTATTTTACCTTTCTGTGACGTTTCTCATTTTGTGCCTTTGCAGGCAATGGGACTGGCGGTGAGTCTATCTGGGGCGGAGAGTTTGACGACGAGTTTCACCCAAACCTACGTCACGACCGCCCGTACACAATGAGCATGGCTAATGCTGGACCAGGGACTAATGGCTCGCAGTTCTTTATCACTGTCGTTCCTACAGTAAGTGTATACCATATATATGCTCGTTAGCTCAGTTGGTATCTTGCTGGTGTAACTCAGCGTCATTATTTCTTGCTGTCAGATAGGACCTTATGTTTTTCTTTTCTTTGGACGAGGCAACAAATTTTCCATTTAAACCTTAATTCTTGCTACAGTGCTGCAGAGATGTAATTTTTCCCATCGTCCTCGTCTATCAAAAGTCTCCCTGCCTAGCCATGCATATCATGAGCATCAAAATCCAACTTTTTAACCCTCACAGAACCAGGCTGTTTGTAGCCCTCCTTCCCTCTGGCCCAGGCAATACTGGAGTCCTCGACTGCTCTGGCCCAGCCAATACTGATTTTTAAAGTTTTAGTAAGTTTTACAGAACTTTCATCACAATGAGGTCATTTATGTGCTGAAGAATAGAGAAGGCGATTGTGTCTGTAAATTTTTTGAAGGTATTAGAAATAATTCCCTACAGTGATACTGCTTTTGTTTGAAGTTGAAGTTTTAGGAAATAACATGGAGAATATTTCATTATTTTTCAGAGACAATTGGGTAGATTACAGTAGAAATATGAGACTTAATTGGGTTTGAGGTGGCCTGCACCTTGTGAGGGAAATGTATATGCGGCCGGGCCTGGGGGAACGAAAAATCTCGAGGTTAATATACATAACTGCGGCCCGGGGTAGTAACTGCAAGGCTTAATCCAACAAAAATGGTTTCACTTCTACAAACACATGGTGTTTGGCTGACCTTCTCTTTTCTCTTGACCTTTCCCCTCTCTTTCAGCTAAAATTGACATCTGTGGTGAAATGGTTACTCTGCTCACTGATATGACTTTAATTCCCAAGTGAGAAAGGTTTTTTTTAAAAACATCTCCATCTCTCTGCTGGGTTGCTGTATCCATTTCAGCCTGGGTTGGTCCTGACTAGCCAAGTTGAAAAACCCAATATTTCAAACAGTCTAAATTTTGTCGAAAGAGGCATAAACTTTTACAAAAATAACGACAGATGTATACATGTATAAACTCTCTCTCACAGCCGTGGCTGGACAACAGACACACGGTGTTTGGCCGGGTGGTCAAGGGCATGGAGGTCATCCAGAACATCAGCAACGTGAAGACAAACGCCAAGACAGACAAGCCTTACGATGACATACGGATCATCAGCATCACTGTCAAATAATCTCTCTCTTAAATAAATTTGACATAATTGTTCATCTGTGTCGTCTCACACTCTAAGCCGAGAAAATGACCGGGACTTCTATATATAAATACATAGATTTGTGTATGTAATGGTTTATGTAAATAAAATGGTGAATAAATGTCTTTTTTACAAATGTCTTTCATTGAATTATCTTTCATTTTTTTTAATTGTTGGAGGGAGAAATTCTTTGCTCGTATACAGCTTACCACACTTTGCATACCTTGTGAGTTGCTTATTCCCACCTGTAGCGATGGCCGCTGCCTCTATGATCTTTCCACTTTCTTCTCTTTCTATAAATTATATTTATGAGAAGTGTTGACAATGAGTTACTTCTAGGATTTTAGCCCAATGGAAATACGACATATTAAATTTATAGGTTGAGTTTGTATAATTTATTAGTATATATAGTGAAGTGATAAAAGATATGTTTAACTTGAAGAAAATAGCATCAGTTGTAAATGTACAAATTTGACTCCAGTGACAATTTTCGGCCAATATCTCTCCATGTGTGGATTGAGAAAAGTAACTCAGTTTGTCAGTACACCTCACATTTGGTAGCACGATATAGTCCCACCTTTTCCTGTTCTGTGCTGGGAAAAGCAAGAAAACTTTACCCTCAGAAAAGTCAGACTGGCAAGAAGTGAAAGGCGGATAGCCTCTTGCGGAACAGTGCACTCTCTTTTACTATTTTTTTTCTTATTTCAAATCAACTGTTTAGTTTAAGAATCCGCCAAACGCTGATTTGAAAAATGACATAGGAGAAATATGATGGAGTCTTACACTACATTGAGCAGTTGAAAAGTTGAATATTTTACCAAAGCTCATCTATTGATACCATTGGCTTGAAACTACATTACAGTCAATTTGTAATAATTCTTTTTATTTGACACTAAGACTCAGCCACCTCTTCTTGCAGAGGAATGTTTGAGTAAAGTACTGTAAAGAGAAGCACATCGACACAATAATGGTCGTTTAACGCTGGGAAAAAGTAAGACGGACAGACAAACAATAGAGTGAAACTAAAGAAGTAGAACTTTCCGAAAGCACCCTCCAGCCACCTGCTCAGAGGAATGCACACACTCACATTTCCCTGTCAGAACTTCAAAAAAGAGACTGAAGGACACTGTATTACCAATGGCATGTTTAATCAGTGAGAACAGCTGTGTTGTCTGCCTGAGTGCTCTGGACAGTTACAGTGGACATCATCCAATTACTCGACATCACCACAACTCAAACATTAATCATATGGCAAGAGGGGAGGATGCATATGCATACAAGTTAATTTGTCAGTAATGCAAAAGATCATGTAACATTAAATAGGAAGGATAAAACCACAGTTCTAAAAACCTACAGTGATAAAGTTCATACTCTGGGCAGGCAATAAAACAAGTCTCATGGAAGGACAATTTTCTCTTTTTGTTTTTCATTGTGAATGTAAAATAGCAAAGAAAGGAGAGTCTAAATGTCTGCCATATATATATAAAAGATTTTGAAAATACTCAAAAATGAAAAGCAAAAGCTAGTTTGCTTACATAGCATATAATAGACCTATCTCTAGAAACTAAAAAATAGCTTTATCACATTTTTTCAGCTCATGAATGCGCTCTCTAAAACTCATATGAGCAAATTTAAAGGAGTTAATTGTGTAGCACATGAGCATATTTTGGCATCATATCTTTCACTATCTAGCTCAGTGTGCAGAAAAAGACAAGAGGTGCCAACGGCTTAACAAAAAATCCTTAACTTTTCAGACCCAGTGAAAACAAATCCCAATTTCCAAATTTATCCAGAAAATCAGCACCTTTGACTAGCATGTGGAATCCAAGGCTCCACCTAAAAAGTGAAAGATTGTAACTGTAGTCAGTAGTAAATCTTTAGCGCCCCCATTGTTTCAGTTTAGATCATATAGGAGTGTGCTGTTTGGACCCTGCCTGTGACTACTGTAAGGGCCAATCGAGACCACAAAGGGTACAACACCCCAGCAGATGGACAGGGATACTTGATTTTTTAAAAACTCTCCACAGGAATAAAACTTACATTCTGCATGCAACGGCGAAGAACCTAGAACAATTGTGAGGCATCAAGGTGAAATCAGACGCTCGTCAAAATAATGAAATCGAAGAAACTGGCATTTTTCTGCCCACCTGTCAATTTTTATCAAATTTGTTTTTTGGCTTCACGTCTGTTACGTCCATTTAAAAACACCTTTGAGGGTGGATTTTACTTAAAAAAAACTGATTAAAAGCACAAAAAATGTAAATTTACATGTTCCAAAGGACTCTCGAGCTTTGGAAGTAACCCAACTTTGGCGGCCATTTTTTTGCTAATTTTTTCCCTCTGAAACTACGCAACACTCACCTCCTTCCAATCACAAATATCTCGACTTTTATTGAAGATAGATTGGTATTTTTAGCATGGAAAGTAAGACTAATAAACAAGCTTTAACATGATGCCAATAACTCCACAATTGACGAGCGGCTGATTCTACCATGTCGTGACACAATTACACAACGGGTACTCGTCATTTTTTAAATAAGTGCACACACCAGAAAGCAACATGCCATCATGTGCGCCTCTGCACACTATCCCTCCTCTAACTGGTCAGTTCAGGTCTTTTACAAGGCAGCGGTCACCATTTTTCATTCAACAAAAAGATAGGTGACCCACCAGAGGTGTGAACAAAGCCACAAAATCATCAGCGTCAATTCACAATCATAAAAATCAGTTTCTAGGGTTTTCCAAACAACCTCATTATTCAAATAGAGACATAAAATTTTCTTCAGTTTCGTAAACATCTACCCCAGTTTTTCACTAAAAAATAATAGCTGCCCAAGTTGTGGTCCTGGTTAGTGATAATTTATCTGAGCACCCTCTTTTCCTTTAACTTTCACCAAACTTCAGGTGCTTGAGTAACTGTAAAGATGCTGATGAACTAGTTTCCTGCAATCTCCTGCAGTGACCCCGCTATCTATCATTATGACATGGAGCGTGTTGAGCAAAACAAAAGTACAGTGAGTCACAGCAATAACTTAAAAAACACACATTTTGACTGGCATGAGTGATATTTTTCAAAAGTAAAAATATATATAAATATACATACATTTAACAAGTTCCGTTACAAAGGACAGATAAAATAATGAATTTATAAAAAGTAAGAAGCCCAATACATGTATTGTATTCATGTATAATGCAACATTTTTTACACCAAAAACACATGCAATTGCGTCCCATCTGTACACACACACATATATATTTATATCATCATCATCATTCATTGTCTTATGTCAAAATAAAGGTTTTCAGAAGAGGTAAAAAAATGTTATATTTCGCTCAGAACACTATCTTAATACAAAAAATGTTTAATTCATCTAAATCCGTTATCATTTTAATAAGAAAAATGAGACTAGGACCAATCAATGCACAAACTCTACAATGTACTTGATTTTCATTTTCTTTCGAAATTTAGACATACTGCAATGTTGAATGATAGCAAGGATATTAGGTCGCTTTTAAGGACAAGCGGGCTAACCCAGATTTCGGGGGTTTCCAGATCTTTACCTACACCAAAAGTGGGCATTGCCCTACCTATGGGAGAAGTTTGGTTTCAGTGGTGTGTATATTTGTTTGATTACAATATAGAGAAAACTCTCCTTGTCTTTTAAAGAAACTGAATAAGGGTTCTAAAACTTTACCTTCAATTTTCTCAAAACAGCATTTCCTGGGATAGTCCCCTTGTGCTTAAAAGCGATCATTTAATAACCAGGAATGCACTCTGAGGCACATGCATGAGGCTGCAGACAATACATTGTATAACAAAAATGATTGCTGTATGGGGAAAACCCACTGCTGTTCTCTGTCTCTGATACTGGAATCAAGTGGAATGTTGACACTAAGTTGCTACGGCAACAGGATCAAGATTTGTTGACATCTAGTCACTATGGCAACAGGATCAAGATTTGGAGTTGAAATGAGGGGCTGTATGATCAGTCCTGCTGAGCACACACTCTCTGTGTCTGTCACACAAATCTTTCTCTTCTTTCATTCTCATTCTCACAGATCTTACTCTTCTTTCTTTATCATTTTCACAGATCTTACTCTTCTGTCTTTAGCATTCTCGCAAATCTTTCGCTTTATTCTTTAGCATTCTCTCTTAATCTTTCTCACAAACTCTTTTCTTCTCTCTTCATCCTTCTCCACATGTCTTCCTCTTTTCTCTTTAGCCTTCACTGAAATCTTTCCATTCTCTCTGTATCTTTCACATATCTTTTTCTTTTCTCTTCATCATTCTTTACACGCATTTTTCTTATCTATTTCTCTTCTCTCTTTATCTTTCACACAAGACTTTCTCTTTTCTCTTTATCTTTCACACATCTTTCTCAGTCAACTTTCACATTTGTAAATTCTTCCATTCATTTCTTCAAAAGGGTGGCAAATCCTGAGAATCGAGAAACAAAAAACAGGACAAAAAAATATCAAAGAACTTGGGAAAACGTGGAAAACACTTCTTAAAGTTTTAAAAGATAAATTCACGAGTAAAAGACCAAATACTGTTATCATTATTTTATGGTGGCACCATTTTTGTGTAATCAATAAAAGATGTATACAATAATAGACAAACACAAAGAGTTATTATCCTTTGAGCAATTTATAAATATTATGTGTTCACTTTTTACTCATAGACGGCCTTAATTTTTTAAAAGTGAAGAAAGTCTGAGAAATGGTACAGAATAGCACACGAGACAGCTGGGGCAGAAAGGGTAAATAAATAACTCCCCTTGCCTTCCCGCATCACAACAATCACAATCCACATTTTCCTGTTCTTGTAAAACATAACTGCAGTCCCACCATGACCTCGACCAGGACCCCAGATTGGCGCACTAGGTCATGTCATGCACATTTTAAAAAATGGTTGGGGGGGGGGGGGCAGAAAATTTACTTTTACTTCTATCGTTAATAAACTGCAGAGGTTAGTGTATCTCAGTACATATACGCACACGGCAAACAAGATCTCAGTCACAAAACGAGTCCAATAAAACTTCTGTAATGATTTTGTTCATGTTTTGCACTGCCATCAACACAATTTAGGTCATTTAAAAATGTAAAAGCTAAGATCTGCTTCAACCCAGGCAGTGGGGACAGAGCTCCAGCAGACATTCCGTAAATATATCTTAAAGAAATGCAATTTAAAGACTTCCCCACAAGAGAACTGGATCACATCGTCTGCTACCAGCAACAAAGCACCTAACAGTTACACCACAGACACTGGTTCCAATGAAGAATCCCAACTCAAAATTTAAAATCTCACAAAGAATCTTGTCAAACCCTTTTTCATCAGTTTACAACTGTACCAGTCAGTCACATACTTGTCAAAATTTTTTCAGCTAAAATAATTGGAGTCTACACTTAAACCGAAATCGGCAGGAGGAAACTAAATAGACTAAATTCTATGTACAGCAAACTCTCATGCTTGCGTGAAGGACCGTGTTTCAAAAGAAGCATTTTCCACATAATTAAAACGCCACCTGAGTATTTATGAGTTCAAAGGGTAAGAGTAAAGTATAACCCCCGATGTGTTTGCGCACTATGACGATCACAGCCAGCTGTTTCCTTCTCGGGTAAGAAGACACAGCTACCACCCCAACGCGACCTCCACTGTGACCTCTGGATGTCACACACTAGATGCAGATCGAAATGAAAGGTTGTACATGTACTTCACTTTTCTCATGATAAGAGCTAGACAGTCTCCTCTTCTCTAAGTGAAGTATTTCACAACAACCCTTCGTGAAATAATAATAATAACAATGACAATGATAATAACAATGCTAATAATAATAATAATAATAATAACAATAACAGTTAAATTTGTATTGTGCATTATATCCATGTTCTATACATTTTACAACTACTATTACCCGAGCAGACCCCAGAACAGAAAAATTCTCAGCTTCCCGGGAGGCATATGATACAATGCAAGCAACCAAATGAAGAGGCTCAAACACTAACAAAGTGACAAGATCTTTCACTATCTATAGCTTGGTACACATTCCCACCAAGGTGAAGTAAAGAAAATTTATGTAATGTAAAGTGTCTATAATGCTTCGACCCTGAGGTATTCGAAACTACGTAACGGCTGAGAGTCCCAGAACCTAACTACTAGATCACCAACGCCACCAAAAATGCAATTATTAATATTATTGTATCTCACAACCTTCCTGTTTTTGTTTTTTTTGTTTCAGTAGAGGTTTTACGGTGCTCGCAACCGCATAGGTCATATGAGCACCAAGGGGTGGATGTCAACAGAGAAGTCCTTACAGGGAATCAGATTTACTCTGCTCTCCTTTAGCTTCAACAGTACAAAGTTTGCTTCCACTATCAAGGCACCCCGGAAATAGCGGGTCACAAGAGTGTGACAAACATACAAAAGAAGTAGAGGAAAATGACAATAGCAAGGATTAGGAAAGAAAAAGCAGCAGTTCCCTGTTGTAGTTCAGGCAAAGTTATGAGCATGGCATTGTTGGATTAACCCATTTACAATTCTACTGTGCATTAGAACGAGGAATGTCCCCCCTTTGGGAATGGCCTAAAGACACTTCAGTCAGTGGCACCGCTCCCGGGGGGTCAACCTTCCTGTGTGATGTGATGAGCATCCAGCTATGGCCACGGAAACAACATCGTTATACCCTTCAGAATAAACCAAGCGTTGTCCCAGTCTGAGTCGATAGAGAAAATAAAAAGAGATAGAAAGAGAGAAAGGAGACAGAGAGACAGAGAGAAAACGGAGTAAGAGATAACACAATTTAGATCTCTCTCTACCACAGAAGGTCAAAGGCCAAACCAACGACAGCTGGTAGGGCTTGTTTGTTTGTTTGATCAATTGAGTATACTTTTTTACGTCACAATCGACACAATTCTGGCCTCGCAGTACCAACAACAAGAACGGAACAATCCAGAATACACGTCATAGTACCCTTCTGAATACACCACGTGTTGTCGGAGTCTAAGTCAGTTCCCAAGGAAGTGCTGGCATCACAAAACTTTGCAGGCCCTGAATAAAGGACAGGGACAAGACTATCTACACAAAAGGAACTTTCCACGAAAAGTGACACATGTAACTGTAGCACAAGGATGTTAACATGCTGAAAAAAAAATTCAAGCAATGTTAGAGCAATTCTCCATTTTTCTTTTAAAACATTTTTTTTTCTTTGTTAGAGGAAGTCTGCATCTCACAAAAATATTTTTTTAAAATAAAAGAGGTAACAAAGGACCCTACTACTGCTTCAAATTTTTTCAGTTGGTCATCATCTCTGCGTTACACGGGTCAGTTTTTATAGAACGACCCAAAATAATGTTATGTACAGTGAAGTACATCATACCATAAGTAGACCATGAGTACAGTGAAGTACGTCATACCATAAGTAGACCATGAGTACAGTGAAGTACGTCGTACCATAAGTAGACCATGAGTACAGTGAAGTACGTCGTACCATAAGTAGACCATAAGTAATACGTTGAAGTGTTGAGATAGCTCCATCAACAAAAGGATGGAGAAGCTGATCACAGTTGATCATAGTATTATTGTTTGCAAATACATATCATCTCTGCACGCATACATAAGTCGTAACAGCTGATTATAGTTTGCAAATACAGTCCAGCCTGCCCTAATGGCCACCTGTTCAAGACAATTAGCCGTACAAAGGAACATATCCCATTTCCCCCAATGACTATGAGTTTGGTTTTTTACATTTTACAATGACACTCTCTGAGACACCCACTCGACAAAGATAACCACTTTTCTCCAAAATAATGGGTGGCCATCTTGGACAATTCCAACTGTACATATCATCCCTGCATGCATAAATAAGTCCTGACAGTCGATCATTTTTCACAAATATACAGTTTCCCCCGCGCACATGGACGAGTCCAGTAGGACCGGAGTATGACTTGTGTATTTGTGTCCATTCGTCTTGTCTGTTCACTGCCACATGGAAAGCAGAAGATAAGGAATCATCTCCGACACTAGTCTTGCACACAGCAACTTTTGTCTGTCATTCCTCGTCACCTAGGGGACGGGAGGACATGGGTGGGAGCCAAGAGATGGGTGGGTATCATCTAAGGCATAATGTACTCATAACCCCCAGGCAGAGTGGGGGAGAAGAGACGGTTATCATTTTATGTACTCATAGCCCCAGAGTAGGATGGGGGAAGAGAGATGGGTGGGAGAAGAAAGATTGGTGTCCATCATCTCATGTACCCTTCGCCTCTGAGCAGGGTGGGAGATGAGAAGAAAGCTGACCACACAAGGCATGAGCCTGATGGACTGACTGAGCCCTGCGAACAGCAACCCCTGCATTAGCAACACAGCAGCATGGAGCAGCTCACATTCTGAGATTAAGAAACCCAAACAGCTTCCAGTTTGTTGTGACAGTCGGAGAGCTGCATCCACAGGGAACAGAGGGAGGCGGGCGAGCTGAGCTGTAATCAATCTGGCAGATGTGTGACAAAAAGAGACGACCAAGCACAGAGATCTGTGGAGCAGTCTGTGTACTGTAAACATTGCTCTATGTATGAGTCACCAATGCAGGCACCGAGGGGGGGGGGGGGGGGGGGGCTGCGGCAGGGATTTGCGGAGCATTCTGTTTAACGTAAACATTGTTCCATTGTCTGAGTTGATGATACATGGATAGGAAGAGGGAGTGGGGGAGAACAAGACTCTTGAAGGAATACGTCTTTGAATCAAGCAGGATAATCCATTCTTCTATTGTCACAGTGGCTGAGTCTTGGACGAGGGAGGGCGAGGAACAACTGGAGAATCCATCGGGCCGTAGTCCACTGGACGCACTGACGAACTGCTCCATCATGTGACCACCAGAGGTCTGACAGATCCGTGTCTAATCCAGAAGTCTGGACGTGTCAGTGACACTGCCACTGCCGTCACTGACATAACCAGCAAGCCGTTACCTGTGGGGAGGAGACAAACATAACTCACGGTTAGGGGCGGAGCAATGTTTCACATTACCTACTCAGGCAGCATATTGTGGGTTTATATCTCTAAATCTAAATGCACAAGTCTGGACTTTTATATCTTTTTATGGCCTAATTAATATAAGCCCCAGCAGTGGATTCCTCAATGAGAAACTCAAGAAATATGTAGCTTTATCTATTAGAATTCATGTTTATAAAAGTTTATATAAATTCTAAAATTATAATGCATGAGAGTGCAGCAATATGAGTTTTGTCTCTTCTGAAATGTTCCTTGAGATATAGACTTGCACTTACACACTTAGAGAATTACACCAACGATGAGCCTACTTTTATACTTGTTACACTCAGATTCTAAGATAAAGAAACTCAGCTTACTTTAAGAATTCCACTAGGATAGAATAAGACTTTCAAATTATGCGATTTGATTCAAAAATAAATGTTGGCACTGTTTCCAAAGGTGCCTTACACTAATATGAAACAGGAAAGTCTAAGGAATAAGACATTTATTCTAGAAAAAAAAAAAAAAAAAGGAAAGTGGCACTCTGATTTCGCAAAAACAAAATAATCCTGTCATTTCAAAAGATTTGCTAACCTTACCGCCTACACTGTTAAAAAATGCAAAGAGCATAAGGTAATATTTACCATTACTACATTCATCTTTTTAATATGTGTATTGTACACTGTTCTTGTAACATAAAAATCAAACTTAAGAGTACAAACGAATGTTTAATTAATTAGTATAAAAACCTGAGGAATTTCATAATGAAAGGAAGGTAAAAAAAAACTTCTGTCTCTTGGAAATTTTTTAAGTTAAGTTGGATTGAAAGAGATATGTTAGGAAAAGTTCAAGAGCAGCTCATCAACCCATTAAAGATTGTAAAGCGCTGAAAATAGATAAGTCAGACAGACAAATAAACAGATAAAAAGTCACTTGATGTATAATACTTACGGTTAAACAGGTAAAAGAGAGGTGTCACAGTAGTCAAAAATCCCATGATGTCTGAAATGGACAAACATTTAAAATTACAATTCATTCAATCAAATGGGGCAATTTAAAAAAAAATAAAAATTTCAGCTTTAACAAGAGTTTTACAGCTCTTGTACACAAAAATAGGTCATGTAAGTGCTGAAGATCAGAGATGTTATAACTAGCTCAGAGTAACATACAAAGAAAGAAGGAGAAGAAATAAGAACAATAGATGTTTCATGGAAAAGAACTTTGCAAACCACTCCAGAGCACCTGCAAACCACACACAAAAAAGTGGCAACATTGTGACAATATTACTTAAGTTCTTGAAACAAGCTTAGAATACAAGCTTAGAATAGTAAATAGGTTATAATTGGACTTATGGCCACTAGCAAAATGGTATTTATTATAACTTACAGCTGTGCCAAAATGCAACTCGCCTTTTATTTTGTTTGGCAGTTCTATATCTCTATCTTTCGATAAAACCAAAAAAATGCAATGGCAGTCACAAAGGAAACATACATCTAAAATTTTATCATTAGACGATTAAGAGGCCCCTCTAATTTCAATCTTGTTCATTTCTAGTTATTTTGCCATGAAACTTCCCAGTATCACTAATTATTGTGGCACACATTACACTCTCAGTGCAGCTTTTGAAACACCCTAAAGGCAAATGTGGCTTCCAGAACATTATAAAAATACTTTTCCAAGAATATAAAAATGAAACATCGATAGTAGGGTAATCAAATAAGTTAAAAAATCACAGCTTTTGAATTTTCGATAGTTTAACCCAATTTTGACCCCAAGCCCACCCCCAGCCTCACACGAGTCTTCCCTCAAACTATTTTTTTTCCCATTTATCTCGAAAGTAGCAAAAATGAGATGTGTCACTTTGCTAGCCCAGTGAGGATATTATGCTGACATGACAACACTTAGCGGTAGGCAAACTCACTGGCTATCTGAATCCCCAGTACCATGACCAGCAACGCCATCAGCACCAAGGTCATCATGTGACATGCCAGACACACCATATTGACTAGGGTGCTTGTCTGTAGCGTATCTTCCCCTTCCTCTTCCTTGTCAGTGGCACTGTTGAAGTCGTGTTTAACCACCTGGTAGTAGTGCTGGCTGGCCACACCGTTCCGCACCATGGCCAGGGGGACAAGGTAAAGGTCACTGACATCGTCATACTGCATCGCCAGACCCAAGGTGAACAGCAGGTGGTTGTGGTAGCTGTTGCAGCTGTCCGGGAACAGACACAGGGCCACGCCCGCTACTCCTGGGGAAATGGCAAGCAGGAGGAGGGTTTGTTTATTTATTTGTTTGTTTGAGTTTGATTTGTTTCAGTAAAGAAAAGCCGATCGGCACAATAATGTTCATTCATTTAGTCTTAGTAAAAGCTTTACAGGACTTGCAACACAAATAGATCCTAAAACTGCTGAAGATTAGAGGTATTACTAAAGAGTTTCATACACAAAAAAAAGAGGGGAGATAAGAATGAAAGATGACTAATAGAAGAGAAGGAGCAAACCACACCAGAGCATCTGCCTACCACCCACTCCCTTCAAATATTTCATCCGTGTCACAACATATATATAGAAAGTGGGACTGGGCAGTAAGAACGCTAATTTTGCGCTGCTAGTAAGGCAGGAGAAAAAAAAACCTTCATCTCAGAAAGAAACATCCTTAGATTTGACCTTATAACTTCAAGAAAACATTACCTAAAAAGACAAATGGTGTTTCCAAATCTCAAAATCGATCCCAAATTAAATCAAAAGATGTTCTAAAAGAAATGTTATAACTTTTCAACAACAGAACTCACCACAGAGCCCAATCTGCATGTAGTTACTACTGAGGTTGCTGCGGTAGTGGGTGACCTCGGTGCGTGTGTACTGTTCCAGCAGCTTCACCGCAAGGAGCACAAAGGAGAGGAAGATTTGCAGTGTGCTGAGGCCCAAGCCTGAGTGGACGTAGTGAGACTTCCAGCCCATGGAGAGCCAGGTGGTGTCCACACCTGGTGACAAGAGCAAATACACCCAGGTGATGTCTACACCTGGGAAACGAGAAGGGAAACACTCAGGAACAAATCGTTGCTGTCAGTCATCGCTATAGTATGTCAAAATTTGGGAAAAAATTAAAAGCAGTTATTTTGTAGAGTCTGATGAGACACATTGACTGGTCCAAGTCTTATCCCTTTTCTTAAAATAGTAACGAAGTTAGAGGAATAAACATTTTGTGTCCTGCCCAAAATATATCAGGTTTTTTTTATTATCTTAAAAACCTTGCACTTTGACATACTAAATGATGAATAATGACGACCAAATTCACCCAGCAGGTGATATCTACACCACAGACTTGAATTATAATATCCTACACCGGGCGCTGTCAAATCTCTGTAAAAACTTCGCTGTCCTGGTGCACACCCTAGGCACACAAATGAAGGGTAAAGCATCAGTCTTGCTACAGCCGAATGAACCTCACCCTTTCCTTCCTTGCCATATATTGGGTTCCAAATAAAGTCAAATTGTGAGCGTAACCGTTTTTAAGAATTACGTCAGATTGTAACGTGATTTTATAATACATTTCTGGTCTACACCTGGGAGGGAAAGGAGAAGGAAAACACTCAGGAGCAAATAGATCTACACCCGGATGATATTATCACCCGGGAAAGAACAAGACAAGGAAAACAGTCAGAGGCAAACCTCTACACCTGAGAAATAAGACTGAAAGAACAGTCAGAAGTGTTTGGGTTTAGTTTAGTTTTAGTAGAGGTTTTACGGCACTCATAACTGCATAAGGTCATATGAGCACCAGAAGATTAGAGGTGTTACAAAAGAGTAACAAGCATAAAAAAGAAAAAGGGGAGATAAGGACGATAGATGTTTGATAGTGTTTGGGTTTGAGTTAGACTTCAAGTAAAGAGTAGCTAAACAGACATATGTAATAATGTCACTTAGTTCAAGGAAAAAGTAGGAGAGACAGACAGAAAAAAACAGAAGAAAAAGTAAAGAAGTAGAACCTATCAGTTGCGCAGCGCACTCCAACAACCATGAGAAATAAAGATCAAGGAAATAGTCAGGGGCATGAGCAGGGCAAACGTCAGGGGTAACAGACCAAGGTGATGAGAAGAACAAGGCAAAAAGTCAGGAATAAAAATTCTCAGGTGATGTCTACACCTGGAAAAAAATCAACACTTGAAAAACTATCAAGGGCAATTTGTTAAAATGTAAGTGTTTTACACACTTATTGACACATTTTAGATGGTTTAGAAGAAGGGCAAAGCCAAGGGGCTAATAGACACAGATGATAAACATCAAGGAAAAAGTCAGGGGCAAAAAGGATAAATTTGTGAAAGATTTACTTTTTTCTGTAGAACAACTGAAAGTCACTTTGCATCTCAATTGTGCTGGTGTGCGTATGTGTGGATGTGTGAGGATGAGTGTGCTTGTGAGGGTGTGTGAGTATGTGAGGGTGTTTGTGTGGATGTGCGTGAGGGTGTGTGAGTATGTATGTGTGTGCTTGTGTGTGTGAGTGTGTGTGGGTGTGTGTGGGTGTGTGTGCATGTGCTGAGGTGTGTGCATGTGAGGGTATGTTTGTATGTGTGTGTGTGAGGGAGTGTGCGTGTGTGCACGCATGTGTGTGCGTGTGTGCGCACAAGCACATGTAAATGTAAAACAGGGAATAACTCACTTGCAACAATTACAATAAAAAACCCTCACCTGCGCCCCATGAGATCCAGATAGCCCCAGACAGGAGCGAGGCCCCCCAACTGTCGTTGTGTAGCAGACGTGTGACATTGTGCCGTAACAGTTCCATAAAGTTTGTCAGACGGGGCAGCTCCGGGGACAGTTTCCTCCCTTTGTCACACGACGCTCCCTGCTGGTCCTCGGGTATACCGGGCTCTTCACAGCCTGGGATAGACACATTGCTACAATGCCGACTGCCTGCTCTCAGAGCGACATACATATTATTGGTAAGCATATCCCGACCCCAGTGCTTTCTTGTCGTATCCCCATTTTTAATAACAGTGAAAACAGCTCATAACAAAGAGTGAGCTTAAGAAGATGACACATTTCCACTGTTTAGGAAAATGAAGATACGATAAGAAAGCATTGAGGTTGCAAAACGATCAAGCTCTAAAGCAATTCATTGTAAGGTTCTTTAACCCTCTTTGTGTCAACAGCTGATTAAATAGGCGGTAAGTATTGTTCTGAGGTGTCGAGTTCAATGGAAGCAAAATAATATTGTCTATACTTTGTCAAAACAGAGTTTTAGTGTTAGTAAAAGTTTTACAGCACTTGCAACACAATAAGGTCATAAAAGTGCCGAATATTAGAGGTATTACAAGAGAGTAACAAACACAAAAAAGGAGGAGAAGAGAGAACGACGATAGTTTTTTTTATAGGAAAGAAGTAGCAAACCACACCAGAGCACCTGCCAACCACCCACAAAACGAATTAAAAAATTAATTTTCAACTTTAAAATGTGTAATATCCTTCAAATTTCTTTACTTAACAATCACCCCTCGAATTTTACCAAACACTCTGTGAAGTATGTTGATTTACAAATTATTAAAAAGGACATATCAATACAATATATGAGTATTTAGAGTTAAGAAGAAAAACAGACACACAGGCAAAAAAAAGAAAGAGGAAAGACAAGATGTAAAACCAACAAGTCACACCTTCCAAATGACCGCTTTATTCAAATTTTAAAAATTAAAATTACAACAACAAAAAAACAGACAATTTTGAGACAAAAAACACACACCCAGTAATATCCAATAGGTTACATAATTTCTCTTACATTGTGATCCGCTGTTCTGGTATCTGGCTGACCACCAGTGTCCCACGGAGGGCAGGAGCGAGCTGACCAGTGCCACAGGGCTCAGGTAGAGGAAGAGATGACCACCCAGCCTCTCAGACAGGTGGAACATGAGAGGGTGGACAAACAGGGCGATGGCCATACACAGGACCAGGATCAGGGCTGACAGTGTCACTCGAGATCTGGACACAGAGACATATTTTTATCATTATGGTGTTTGAGTAAGAGTTTTTCAGCACTTACAACACAAAAAGATAATTTAAGAGTCGAAGATTAGAGGGATTACTAGCGAGCAAAACAAATAATAGGAGGGATAAGGATAGACTCTTAATAGATTTTTGATAGGAAAGAAGGAGCAAATCACACAGAGCATCCGTCAATCACCCGGAGATTCTACACAGACACATGATGAGACATACCAGACACACGAGACACAGAGACACAAGGTCAGACACAGCAACACATGGTGAGGTTAGTGAGTTCAGTTTTAGTAAGAGTTTTATGGCACTTGCAACACTATAAGGTCATATTATAAGTGCCGAAGACTAGATGTGTTAAAAAAGAGCAACAAATATAAAAAAGGAGGAGAGATCAGGACGATAGGTGTTTGATAGGAGGTTAGTGAAAGTACACAGAGATATATGATGAGACTTTTTAAAGTTTTAGTAGAGGTTTTACGGAGCTCGCAACTGCATAAGGTCATATGAGCGCCAGAAGATTAGAGGTGTTACAAGAGAGTAACAAACATAAAGAAGAATAAAGGGGAGATAAGGATGATAGATGCTTGATAGGAAAGAAGGAGTAAACCACACCAGAGCACTCGTCAACCACCCACATGATGAGACTAGTGGTGGCAGGACAAACAGGGAGGACGAGTTTATACAGAAACACCGACCTGCAACCTCCGGTTGCTTTTTTGCATGTACATGAATGAATGAATGTGTCTGTGTGTGTGTGTGTGTGAGTGTGTATGCATGTGTGTGGGTGCGTGTGTGCGTGCATGCAGATAGACAGACAGACAGACAGACAGACAGACAGACAGACAGACAGACAGACAGACAGA